ATTTTATTGGTGTTCACTCACATGTATTTGAAACACTGCTCGTGTATTGAGGGACCACAAAGTAAGCGATCCAGTAGTGAGGAATAAAGTACCAGGTAGAGATAGCAAATCAGTTGATGAGGTAGTGAATCGTCATCAACTGAGGTTGTTAAGACATATATTAAGTGTATTCAACCACCGCCTACCTCGACAAGTGATGTTTTCTGGTGCAGGAGTAGGCTAAAAAGTATCTGGAGGTAGCCAAACTAAAACATGACATCAGTCCATGAAGTCACTTAAAATGGGACTTAGCCACGTTAATACGTACAGACTACCAGGTTGGGGTCTTCATGATTAATGTAATCAATGATCAGAGACTTTGAATAACATGGCTCAAAATCATTTGGAATGGTGCAAATGCATTCGCTTTTTATCTTCCTTCAAATTTAAAGATTTTATATTCTTCATAATATTTTTGTGTTTTGATTTCGCTAACTTATTTTTTCTTGAATCATATCTTTGATACCTAATCTTCTTCATCACTACTGATATTTTTAGTATATCTATTATTCTGGAATTTGGCTTGATAACTTCATTTAATGAAGTATGGTAACTTGAACCGATATACATACGTACACGTTCTAAGTTGAAATTGATTGACTCTATTTCTTGTGCAAGAATTAATAATTCTCAACTGATGTATCACATTATTGTAACACATGTGAATAATTTGCTCCCAAAACAATTTCGAAACTTTGTCATTTCAAACAATTTCAATTCACACTTCTTATATTTTTATACGTAACATCGATTCATGTATCAATCTGATCATATCTGTAAATTGGTATACATTTTGTAATTACTTTCAAGATAGATTATTTACTATTATATGGATAATAAATCATTCTCAAAAAGTTCTAAGTAACTAGGATATCATATTAAGTTTAATGCATTTAAGACTGTTCTATTTTACTCAAGCTGGTTCAGATAAACAATAAACAGTATATCATGTTAAGAGTAACTTGACAAAAGCAGTTAAGTTACAAATCCTTTAAACATCAGAAGCGATTCTGTTACGACTTAAATTATCTGAGTGCGGCATTAAAAGAAATAAATTCACGCTTTTTCCTTACCTTAAATAATTAAACAGTCATGTAGTTTTTTGGTTATAAAGTGTAGAAATTTTCTCATCCTTTAGATTTTAGCAATCTAGTTTCGTTTGATTTATTTTATTTCCTGTAAAAGTGGATAATTTACTTGACATTCATTGCACATTCGTTTATACCCTAATTTATCTAATTCCACTTCATGTCTCAAAGAAACACCTGTTTAAGATCGGTTACTAACTGTTTAATTGAAACCTCTTACAATGGAAAGCATTTTATTAAATTCTATTGGATTAAGTTACATAAATGAGTAATAAAAAAATTAATAAAGGGGATTTTCGGGGAAATTTATTTCATATTTCCATGTATTGTAAATGTAATACTTGACAAGGTTCAGCTACCAGCTAGTTGTCTTCTACACAATTTTTCATTTTGAAGAAAAAACCACTAGTCAGTATGAATTAGCATCCCAAGAATTAATTTAGCTGAATACAATGTTGTCCAATCTGAGTCATTGGAATAAAATCGAACTCATTTTATACAGGTTCCTAAAAAAATCGATTGACAACTCAAATTGTATTCGGTTATCTTGCTGTAGGTAAAAACATTAGACAAACAGTGGTTAAATATCTTTCCGTTATTAAGTCCACTAGAATATATGTAACATGGACAGAAAAAAATTCACTTGGTATTGTTTACTTGAATTTTCCAATTGGTGTTTAAGACCGCAAGTGATCACTCTCTTATTGGCATATGTGCATATTGTGCATATTGTCTCTATATTGCCTTAATTCACGAGCATTATAAGCAAAGGTGGATAGTGGCTAGCAGTGGAATCCAGGACCCGCGTTTCGTTCTATTTGGGACTCGTCAGCTGGATGTACCTGCATCTCAGAATTGATGTTCTCTCTAGTACTCGAACTCATTAAGGTCCGCTTCAAACGCCATCGCATTATCCACTTAGCTGCTGAGTCTTGGATTCCACTGCTAGCCACTATCCATCTTTGCTTATGGACAGAAATGATTTACTTTAATTAAAAAATATGTCCATTTTATGAAAATTGAAGTTTGAATACTAGCTTACTTATAAGTAGCTTAAATCCTAAGAATAAAAAACGATCACTATAACAACATATTGAGAATTTTTGATTGAGATCATGAAACGATTGATGTTAGATCACCTTTGAAAACGCGGAAGCACTGGACGGCCGTTCCGTCCTATTGTGGAACTCCTCAGCAGTGTGCATCCACTATCCTGCTCGCGGGAATCGAACCCAGGGCCTTCAGTTTTGCGCGCGAACGCTTAACCTACTAGACCACTGATCCGGCATCCAGTGGTGTTAATGTCTAACTTCAACCAATCCACGAAGTTGCGCGACAATCTTATAATCCAAACTGTATGTGAAAATCACAAATTGTTAGTTTGTATTATTAATGAATATCTTTGATAAGTTTATTTCCCGATGTTTTGGGTCAATTCGTTTATCAAAGTACATGTCCATTTCTTCACGCTCTTAATTATACATGGATTTAGTACTAAACTTGTCATCTATCAATTTGTGCTTCCTACATATTATAAGTAATTAAGTAGTCAGTTTAAGTATCATTATTAATTAACGAACTGTTTCAATTGTGTTGATAACTTTCATGTTATTCTCTCATAAGTGTTATTCTAATTTAATAATTATCTAGTTCTTATTCAGTTATGAAACGTAGGTTATTTGTATATATTGAACTGAAAAGGAATTAAAAACACGAAGTTCATATAAGGGATCTCTTTTCCATAAATTTATTATCAAGCTGTACAATCGTATAAATATGAAATTTTTTTGTTAAAGTACTAGTTCCATGGACACGAATAACCAAGATGACGAAATAAAAAGACTATAATACTAGATTACGTAATACTAATAATAACTATAGCCTTAATACGTAATCTAGTATTACAATCTTTCTACTACGTCATCCTGGTTATTCGTGTTCAATTTTCCCCACAGAACTAGTACCTTAACGAAAAATAATTTTGTATATATATACGACTGTACAGCTTGATTCGTTGAAAAGAGATCCCTTCGCTGAACTTCGTGATTTAAGGTTTAAATGAGAATTATCTATCAATTGAAAAAGAATTGATTATGGATTTTACGTGTATTTAAGTTAGGATTATAGAGTTTAACAACCTCAATTTAAAGTCACTAATTGGTTTGTTAATTTGAACGGTGTTGAATATTCGAATATATGTTATTTTAGTAATCCAGTCATTATTCAGTTAATCGTTCTATCTATCTTTAGATTTAGACATAAAAATACAGCAAACCAATTAGTATTCTGTACAAACATCTTTAACCTAATCTTTAACAACAATGAGATATAATATTCGGTGACGTAAGTGAGTCTAAAGTCCATTTGACAATTATTATTCATTGTTTAGATTATAGAATTTTATCTAGGTGATTTATAAGCAAAGTAAAGGCTGGAGACAGACAATGCTGTCTACTCTCCCCCTTCCTCTTTTTTTTGGTGGTCGACTGAATTATGAAGACCACGACATCTGAGGGGAAGCACGGAACACAACGAACAGCTTCGATGAAACTTGATGATTTGGACTTCCCAGATGACCTAATTTTTCTATCCCATACACACGAACAAATGCAGATGAAGACAACTAGTATAGGTGAAGCCTGTGAATCAGTAGGCCTCAACATGCACAAGGGAAGAAACAAGATCCTCAAATACAACACTGAGAGCAATAACCAAATCTCACTTGATGGAGAAGCTCTAGAAGATGTGGAAACGTTCACGTATCTGGGTAGCATCACTGATGAACAAGGAGGATGTGATGCAGATGTGAAAGTAAAGATTGGTAAAGTAAAAGAGCAGCATTTCAACAATTGAAGAACATATGAAACTAAAAACAACAGCTTACAAGCTAGCATCAAAGTCAGAATTTTCTATACCAACGTCAAGACAGTTAGTCCTACTGCGTGGAGCTGAGATTTTGAGATCTACTACAACCATAATCGAAAATGTACGTGCATTTATAAACAATTTTCTATGTGAGATACTGAATGTCTGTCGACCGGGTCCCATCCGCAAGAGTCTGCTTTAGGAGAGAACAAACAAACGTCAGGCTTGGTAGGAAATTAGGAAAAGATACTGGAATTGGATAGATCAAACATTGAAGAAATCATCAAACTGCATCACGAGGCATGCCCTAACTTTGAATCCTGAAGGGAATCGGGAAAAGAGGAAGACAAAAGAACATATTACGTCGAGAAATAGAAGCAGATATGAAAAGTATGAATAACAACTGGAAAGAGGTGGAAAGGACTACCCAGGACAGGGCTAGATGTAGAGTGCTGGTGGGCGGCCTATTCTCCTCCACGTGGAATAACCGGTGTAAATAAGTATGAAAAATTTAGAAGCTAACAGTTTAATTCTCTTCACTAATCACATTTTTTTCATAAAATTATATATATCTTCAGAAGAAATCGATGAGAACTGAATTTATATGGTCCATTTGTCGAGCTGATATTCTAGAAGATTACTGTATTGTTTACACTTATAATATTGACAAACAGTCAGATATAATTTTACATGGTGCAAATAGTTGTTGTGTAAATATCATATCTAATATTAAATCAATACAAATCGAACAAAAACAAAAAAACAAACAAATAAACATACTTGTATCATTCCATTCCTTTTTTTTAATTTAATAGTCATTGTTAAAACAGTAAAAAAAGAAACATTTTATTAACTATTCACAAAATTCTAGAAAAAGTAAACACTAGTGAAACTAATCAACATGGTTGATTTACATAGTGATTAAATTATTTAGTTAATCGGATGAATATTTATGTCCAAGTTATTATGAATAATGCATTCATTGAATTCCCAATAATACATGACAGTTTATGTAGAAAGAGATAAACGTAGGTACTGTGATTTGAAATAAAAAGGATAAGAAAGAAAGAAAGAAAACAGTTATTATTCATAAAGCATCATTATAACAAAACATCAAAACTACTCTAAAATTAAATAACAATTTTTTGTTGTTGGAAAATCATGTTTATTGGTGTCTTGGTAATGTTTTTCTTTTGTTCATCATTCATTGATTCTTGGAGGTTAAAACAGTATAGATGAAGTGAAGAACTACAGGATTTCAGAAGAAACTTGGCAACGTTGATGTTTCATGATATTTGGAAGAGAACCTTCTTGTCTATTATTTAGACTGACTTCAGGGAACAAAAGTTTCTTAGCATAATATTGTTTGACTGACTTGATCACAATCCACTTGTAATAGTGTAATAAATAGACTGGATTAGATTACTGTGATATACAGCTCTTCTGTATTCAACAGACCGATAATCGTTCGGTGAAGAACTATCTAAGTGCACTGTATAATAATAATACGACTATACTCATTTGTTTCTAAACGTAGATAAAAGAGTTATTTCGCTCTTTCGAACCTACATTCATTATGTTCTTTTCTAGTCAGTTAAAAGTTTACGATAAGTCAATACTTCTAAAATATTATAAAGAATCCATGGTAAATTATTATTTTTTCTTCATGTTCTCGTATTTGTATGTAGTGACATTCTTTAAGATTAAAATAGATGAGTAGGAAGTTAATACTAAGATGGTGCTGACAAGAATAGACTGAAATCGGGAAAACGTGACTACATCACATACAGATTGAAATCATGAGTCAGTTGAAGCTAGACCACCATTGAAAAACATGGAAGCACTGGACGGCCGTTTCGTCCTAGTATGGGACTCCTCAGCAGTGCGCATCCACGATCCCGCACCACGCGGGGCTTGAATCTCGCGTGGTGCGGGATCGTGGATGCGCACTGCTGAGGAGTCCCATACTAGGACGAAACGGCCGTCCAGTGCTTCCATGTTTTTCAATGGTGGTCTAGCTTCAACTGACTCATGATTTCAATCTGTGAAAATACATCACATACAACAGTTACTCAATTAATAATCGAGAATTTTTTCATTGAACATGTATGACATGTCACTATGATGATTCAAGATTATACCAATAATGAATATGGTACATTCAAAAATTTTCTTATTACAAACGTATAATAACAATAGGAATCATTAACTGAAAAAATAGTCAGATTAACAATAGTAAGTCGAAAAACTGCAATCTCCGTCAAGAAGAAACATTTTAACTTTAAAATGATGAATTCTCGATGTAGAAAACTTACATCTTCGCGATTAAACTTTAGAATACCCTTATCGGTTTTCGGGTGGAACGACATGACATCAAAGGCAAGTTTAAGGTGTGCCATACAATGTAGGTAGCTTTCAAAGCTAATTTGGCCTCGTTTGTGATCTACATATCGATGTGCCAAAATATGGAGAACTCTATTGCTGACGCTATAACCTATTTGAAAAATTGCAAAATATATAAGGTATTATAATTAGTTATTTTTTCGAGATCAGCAATTTATGAGAAGTATTAATGCTAGAAGAAGAATATAAAAGAACTAGTTTGGAAACATCATAAATTAAGTCTAATTCGTTCGAAGAATTCCTGGCTAGATTCATGACATAAGTAATTAGATTGTTGGAAATGATGACCATTGTAGTGTCAGTTATTATGCCAAGCCCATATACCTTATTCTAGCTTTCGGACATCCCATTCTATTCATTTTACTTGAGCCATACATTGACCTTGTTATTTATTCGCTTATCAATCTAGACTGTTTTTATATGAGCGTATATGTGTGTGCCCTTCTTATCCCATTAATCACATGTCTGTAGCTTTATTTTGTCTGACTATAAATATTGAGTAACGCTTGACTAAAATGGAGTTGGCTTCCCAGCCGTCTCCCATACGTGTCAAAATTGCTTTGCTATGGCTATCGCTCGCTTGCTTGCCTTTCAGCACAACTCTTCTATGCTTGTTTAACGCATCTGTGCATTTGGATATATGTGTGTGGTCTCGTAATAAACGTAATCAACACTTCGTATTTGTCTTCTGATTAATATACCGTTGGGACGTTATATAGAACGGCTATCAAGACGAGCTGTATACGAAGTTTAAAGATTATATCGAATACCGACCACCACACCATGCACCTTGATGGATACAATATCTAATCATTATTTAGATAATAATGGTTCGGCAAACGCGATCTATTGATTACTGCCTCTGGTTTCTTACTTATCGGATATTAATTAAAAGTCTATCTACAACTAAATTCATCGATTGTATGGTTGAGTTAGTGGCTGTTCATTTGGAGTAGTAAATCTTCCATCTTCACTCTATGCATCATCACTGAAATTTAATGTAGTTTTTAGTGGCCCGGGATCTGACTCCAAATAGATCGTATGAATGACTGTTATTGAATGATTGCTGTCTATCCTCGTATATAACCATCGATTTAAATCGCGATAGTCAATAACGGAATTAAATAGGTCAAATACAAGAACGGATTTCGAATACGTATATTTCATACGATCTTTGATCCTGACAAAACATCGGAGAAGCGAATGGAATAGAGCAAAGCGAAACGACGCGCAGTGAAGGTGGCGGGTAAGCCAACTCCATTTAGCCAAGCGTTGATCAATATTTATGGTCACACAAAAATAAGTTGCAGACATGTGATGCATAGGATAAGATGTGTACGCACACATACGCTCATATAAAAATAGTCAAGGTTGATAAGCAAATAATTAACAAGGGCGAAATACGACTCAACTAGAATGAATGGATTGGCCTGTCCGAAAGGCTTAACATATCAACCAACACTACGAATTTATGTATATTGGTTACTACATCCAATCTAGTCTACTTCATAAATTACATCTCGGTTAATTTCTAAGCTTATTACCGTATAACAAAATAATATGTCCTATGTTTTTTTAACTAATGTCGGTCTGTTCAGATTTTTGAGTTATTAATTTCCTAACTAAGTATCTGAACCGAAGGTATCAAGTAAAGATAAAAGATTGACTTAAAACAAAGCTAGTTGATATTGTTAACCAGTTTTACACTACACTATCCCTTCATTCCCAAGCTATGACGAAAGCCCATTATGATACCATACAAAAATGTATGGGACGACGATTATCTAGCAATGATCAAACCAGGTAAAATTTCTGAGGTTGTATTATTGAATAAATCAAATTATATACAGAAGACGATAATGATTCTAGAAGCTTCACATAACTTGATGCGCGTCAACACAAACAATGGTAAGTAATTACACATCGCATATCATATCCAAATTTTCATATTAATTTACATACACTTATAAAAAGAATAAAACGACAGTCTTCTAATCGTCTCACTCAGTACATTCCCTTGAACATACACCACAAGGTACAAAAAAACTCGTAGTTTGATAGCACATCACCTGATAAATAATGGTCATAGTAAAAATGAAATGAGCGTCTTCGAAGTGATCTACAAACAATCCAACTGTACCTCATTAAAGTTTGCGGGAACCATATCATTTAGACAGCTTCGACTTGAACTTTTCACTAACAAAAGAGTTGGTGATTAACCTTTAACAGGTTTGGTAACAAAGTGAACTAAGCATTTAAACTCAGTTTGTTTCCCCGATTAATTGTAATCAGAATCACGTGAATGTAACCCATATGTATCTTGCTTCCTCGGATTTTATTTTATTGAGTCATAAAATCATCTTAAATATTCCAATTAGTAATCTCGATTGACCACATCAATCACAGATTCATATTTCACAAGCATGTTATGATCTATAGCTAAGTTATCTAACACGAAACTCCATTTTAGGCAGTCTAATAAATGACATATTTTTGAAGTAGAACGAAGTAAATCAAGTTTCAAGTACGTAAAGCGGGGAACGAATTCTGGTTATTTCTAGGCTACAAATGATATAATAATAAATATTATAAAGGTCTTTTGATATATTTCTGGTTAGTTCTGTTTGCAGAATGTAAGTTTGTAAGAATTCATTGTAATATATAAAAATTAACTGTTTAGAAATTAAAATTATGGTAGTTTTATGCATGGGTTTTCTATTTGAAGCCTCGAAATTGTTACGTTTTTAATGAAACCACAAAAATAATGATTAAATGCATTAATCTCCATTTAGCAATGATATATGAAATAACAGGATGGTTGGAGGTAGTCAACAGGAAACCCTGGACCCGGGTTTCGTGCTATTTGGCACTCGTCAGCAAGTTATACCTGTAATCGTGAGGGAACTGATCCTCCCTGACGGATTCGGTTCTGAGTCCAGTGTTTCCTGTTAACTACTTTCAACCATCATCTTATCTCAACATTGTACACTCAATGTTGAGTCACTTAGACTACTGACCACATTGCAACTTGGTTGATAGCATTCGATCTGCACCAAGAAGGACCTGACATACATGACATTAATCACCACCTAGTGATCAATCAATTGTGAATAATGATATTTATATACCGGCAAATCAAAATTGGCAGACTAATAATACAATAATAAATACATGTATTTTTTCTTAATATTCCTACCTGCACTTTTCAATAAATCACGAAGTTTGAACGAACTCACACATCCTTTCCGATCATCATTTTTGTTAAAAGCGTACTGTATATTGAGATTTTCGATAAAGTCATAAAGTTAGTAATGACAAACTAAGAAATATTGTTCAATGAATTAAAATATTAAACATGAACAATAGATAGCTATCATATAAGTTGGTCAGCTGAAAATTTTTTATAGTTAGATTATTGTGATGCGAAATTCAAGTTTCCATGTTCCATTGATTTACCGTTAAGTTCGTTGATGTAGTACTCAGATAAACTTAATTTAGTAGGGTTTGTATTGTCTAGAATAATTTACTCAATAAAGAACTAGGCTGTAATGTATGGTACGAATCATAGTTAACAAAATTACAGTGATCAGTTTGAATAATTAATAACTATTTCGATTATTTATAATGACACTCTTCTTTGTAATTTATCATGTTGTAATTAGAGAATCTTCAATACGAATGTCAAGACAGTTCTATGAACGGAGATGAAACTTCAAAAACTACCACAACAATAGCCAAAATAGTACAAGGATTTATAAATAGTTGTCTAAGCAAGATACTCAATTTTCGTTGACTGGGTACCATCAGCAACAACCTACTGTGGGAGCGAACAAACAAAAATCAACCTGAAAAGAAAATTAGGAAAAGACACTGAAAGTGGAAAACATCAAATTAGATCACGAAGCAAGCGCTAATGTGGCATCCTAAAGCGAAAGGGAAACGAGGAAGACCAAGGAGCGCATTGCTTTGGGAATTGGAAGCAGACATGGAAAGACCGAACAGGAACTGGAAAGAACTGGAAAGGATTGTCCAGGACAAAGTTGGATAGAGAATGCTGGTGAGCGGCCTACGCTCTTTCACGACTGGTAACAGGTGTAAGTAAGTAGTTAGAGATGGATTAACGTGTTATAAACTAGCCAAATACACTGATCAAGAATACGAATACCTAAGTGCTAGCCATATCAATTAGAAGTGTCTATTAGTAATTGTATTTCCTTAACAGATTCCTAAGGTAGGTTTTAATTCGATAAAATCAGCTCAGCTATAAATATTAGTTATTGATTATTAGGCAGAATAATAATGAAAACTCTTTCCTGTTATTTCATGCAATTTTTCATATTGATCAATTGAAATAGAATAAGAAGAATAAACAAGGCAGAATAAGATGGATTCATTTGTTTTACAAATTCTAATTAGCTACTCGAGACTTATATATATTACTATAATTCATTTGAAAAGAAAGATGTACATAGGTCACATCATAATATCAGGGAAATTCTCATCAATCAGATTTAGCACAAAAGCCAATAAACATGCAAGAAACCTAAGAAATGCACCGTGGTTAAATACTGATATACGTTTTGTGAATATTCTAGAAGAAAACTTTTTTTTATAAATAAAAACTGATGTTAAGGACTATGTAACACAAACTATTGAAAGGACTGATATTAAGATTAGGATGAGTGAAAGTCAGATAAAACGTAGGAAAGAAATAAAGTTAATGGATTTATAATTGCAAACACAAAATAAGCTATTAGATAACTGAATGATCGATGCCCAGGTCACTAGAGCTGTGGAAGACTGATAATAGTGTTCAAGTGATTCATACTTATGTATTCGTGAAATTAATAAATTCATTGTATTCTGCTTTATTCATCCTTCATGCCACTTTCTGTTGCCCAGATTTATTTGATTACGATGATCACAATTATATTGAGAGTTGAAATTAACATCAATCACAAGAAAAGTCATAAAGGCTTTTGCTAAACTATTAGATTATACCAGTTAGTTTTACTTGCTAGAGGGAAGTCGATTACATTGAGTTGTCATTTATTTCTGTTTACTCAAAAAATTGTCGTAGTGGAACTGTTGAGTCGGCTTTCCAAGAACTGAAACGGAGCCTCCAGAGGCCCTAAAGGAGCCTAAGAGTCCTAGCCAATCAGAGCATAATGGGGCTTTCCAGAATATCAACGTGGCGTGCTACTATTGGTCAGTAGCATAATATGTCTTTTAGCAGATTGGCCAAAATATGATGTTGATTTAACAAATGTGAACATCTATAAATCGCAAAAATTATTCTATTAAGTCTAATACTATTCTTGGACTTGAGATGGTATCGTTTTCCTACTGGTCAATACTTATTTCACTTGTCAAATGTTATTTTCTATTTTATGGTACGATGTGGTCTGCTTGATTTGTATATAAACAGAGTATGTTTGAAATATAACGATTCATATCTCAGAGGCTGAGAATTGCGTTCTGGACTCGACTGGCTGGGCTAGAGAGGGAAGCAGGACCAATCAGGACTCTAGGTCGTTTTTACGTGTTTACGCGTCTTTGGTCCGATCGATAATTCGCTGCGCTCTGATCTGCAGTCCACAAGATATAACAAAGACTTATCAGGAACGAATATTATGACCGTTTATCTCGGTTTATCATAAGTCCTCACAAAAGTTATTCTGCATATAGTTTTATTCAATAAATTCTGACAATATGGATGTCACTTGCATGAAATTCAGTTTACTGATAAAATTGCACAGGATAACATTGTTGAATAATTTCTATGATGCTCTAGCTTCAAGTAACTCATGCATTTAACTATTAAATTACTAAAATCTCCACAAAACCCCCCTCTTTGATTATATATAATCCTTTTTGCTAGTCTAAATACTCAGTCATAGAAAGATAATGTTTCACTGATTAACTTAAATAATTTTATAATATCCTATAATTAATGATATAAACTAGAATTAATTATGATTATAATGAACTGAAAACCCACCATCCATCCCATAAGATCAGTCATGAGATATAGGAACTCTTCTAAGTCAATTTGACCTGTCAAGTTTGTCTGAATATCATAGTATTTGTTAAGAATAAATAACAACTTTTTAAATATAATACAATGAGAAAATGAAATAAGGCAAAATTACATTCTTTTACTCATTGAGATTTTTGTTCAACAGTACTTCAGTTTTAATTCAATGTGATGATTAAGCAATGTAGTAATTGTTTTGTTTTCCTGCATAATACTCCATTCGTTATAACATACGATATTCTTGTATTAAATTAACATGACACACAGCATATGATTTGTTATAACATTAAGTATCTTTCATATATGTGATTTCATCCTAATTATTAACCAAAATGGGTGTACAAATCAATATATAATTGAGTGTATTTTCGTGTATTGAGTTTAATAAATCTTCACTTGTACTAGTCTTGGTGTTTTTACTTTTCGCATCATGAGAATTGTACTGGTTCCTCATTTTCAAGTATAAGTGATTAGCGATTCCGACATAACAATTAGCGACGACCAGATATAATGGTTGGCAACACAGTCATAACAGTCGATCATCAATTATAACAATTAGTAAAATACAATCTGGTTACAAACGAACTAATTAAGATATTTATTTAAAAATAGGCAATTTGCATACATATTTATAAGAAAGCCCAATGATGTTCTAAGGGATTATGTCTTGGATAATTTTTCATTAGCTATTTTTTTAGATCCAGTTATTACTAAGCGCTGAAAAAGTCCAGTTCAAATCTACAGGTTGTAACCATGACAACTCGATTATTGTTTTTGTGAATAATATATTAGGACGATTGCTGACTAACATCTCGCATATCATACGTTGAAAATGTACTACAACAAAGATGTATGTTTTCATGATCAAAATCCGAATGAAATCATATTCATAATTAACAAGCCTGAACGCGAAAGTAATATGTTGAAAAAAGTATAATTCTCTTCAAATTCAGATTATCCTTTCATATTAGGAAAAGTTCACAACATCAAGATGTTTAACAGATGAATGTATGATTTAATCTAGAATTCTATCTTCAGAAAGCCTACACGGGAAAAGCAATATCCTAATTACCCTAATTAATTTTCAGTCTATTACAAACCCAGAGTCATCCATTGCCAAATACACAGTTGAAAAGAGTTATTTGATTAATCATAAGCTGATCATTCAGGTTTAATCTTAAGGCTATCAGACAAATCAAGAGTGGGAAGGCAAAATGACCAGACAACATACCGGCTGAAGCAGTGAAGTCAAACATAAAAGTAACTGCAACAATGTTCTACATTTCATCCAGAAAACGTTGCTAGGAAGAACAGGTGCAAACACACAGGAAAGACGGATATCTCATCAAGATACCAAAGAAAGGAGATTACTAAGAGATATAGAAAAGAACCATGCTATTACCCAAAACTGGGAAAAGTTCAAAAAATAGTGTTGTTGAACCGAATGGAAGATTCAGTAGACGCTCAATTTTGAGATAAACAGGCTGGATTCCGTAAGGATCTGTCGTGCATAAACCAAATCGCCACACTACGGAACATCGTTGATCAATCAATCAACTATACATCAACTTCCTTGATTTTGAGAAAGCGCTTAAAAGTATGAATAGGAGAACCTTATGGAGACTTCTTCGACACTGTGGAGTGAGTAAATGAAAATATTGTCAACATCATCCGAAATTCATACGACGAACTGCACTGTAAAATCGTGTATGGAGGACAGCTGATAGATGCATTCCAAGTAAGAACCGGAGTCAGACAAGGGTGTCTACTCTCTCCCTTCCTCTTTCTTCTGGTAGTCGACTAGATTATGAAGACCTCGATATCTGAGGGAAAACAGGGCATACAATGAACAGCTCAGAAACAATTAAACGATTTGGACTTCACAGAGTACCTAGACCTCCTATCCCAGACACACAAACATTTGCAGATGAAGACAACTAGTGTAACTTCAGCCTCTGAATCAGTGGGCCTTAACATACACAAAGGAAAAAGCAAGATCCTCAAGCACAACACGAAGAACACCAACCAGATCTCACTTGATGGAAAAGCTCTGAAAGACGTGAAGACGTTCACGCACCTGGACAGCATCGTCGATGACCGTGGAGGATCAGATGCAGACGTAAAGGAGTGGATTGGTAAAGCAAGGCTGCATTCCTACAATTGAAGAACATATGGAACTCAAGACAACTGGTAACTAATATCAAAGTGAATAAGTTTAATACGAACTTCTAGACATTTATGTTGTGCGGAGCTGAAACTTCGAGAACTACCACAACCGTCATCAAAATAGTACAAGTAATTATGAACAATTGTCTAAGCAAGATACTCAACGTTCCTTGGCTGATCAGACCTTATCCGCTGAAACCGATTAGCTTTTATGAAAATAGTTACCGTTTCTGAAGTCTTACAAACCCACCGCAATAACACATATTACGTAGATCTCTGTCGTCTAATTGCATCATATAAATTAGTCAAAAGAAATAACTGTTTTAAACAAGACTTTATTTTTTCTTCCCACATCGAAATATAAGTGTCTACACAAACCCATAAGGGGATATCGAACATTTTTAACACTGATTAAGTATAGACCTAATCAAATCCATTCTTTATTGTTACCAATACAAACAGTCACACTTTTTCACTACATTTTCAGATAACCAAATCCAAAAATCAATAATTCTGTTGTGTAATTCCTAAATTTACTTACTGTTAAGCAAATCAAATCATGATTACTGTTATGATATTTTTTTATAAAGGATACAGATGCTGAAGATATTAAACTACTACACAAGTTACTAGGAAATTCCGTAAAACCAATCATATAATCTGAAATAGAAAAATATGGAAAGAAAATTACCAACTACTATATGGTGTAGTGAAATTCAAAGTTTATCATTTTTGGATTGTATTAAGAATCTCTTTAATTCCGTCGTTAGTAACTAATAATATTTTTAATAGAATTCAATAATCTCTATTAAATTATGAGTTACCTTTTAGTTAAAACTCTCAAACATTTAAAAGATCCTCTAATAATGAAACCGACGAATGGAATGCATTATATCTTTGATTTAAGATCATGTTTAAAATATTCATTAATAAGCAGTATGGTATGATTATATAGTACTACAAATAAATAAACTAGCATGAGTTAATCATTCTATTTTCACGAAGCATGGATAAGTATGAGTTAAAAATAGGAGGTTGAATCCACTCACCTCGAAAATTATATTGATCCAGAATAGTACCTAATATTCTAGAATTGATTGTTTCGGTGATTGGATTACATAACTGCTTAAAATTTAATTCCAATGAAGTAAGTTCCTTCTACAAGAAAAAGAATGAGTAAAAATTCTGTTGTTTGACTTAACAAAATGATCATTTCGATCATGCTTTAAAAACTTCTTTCAATGAAGTCACAATATCAAAATATGAATGGTAGTAGAACACTAAATTATTCGTTTCTATGATCATTTAGTCTTATAAAGCATCTATTCAATTTAAATAGCACTAAAAATTTGATAATTATAACTAATTAAATGATGTAGACTTTTTAGGGTATCACTTTTAAGTAAAGCATTCATAATGAAACAATATTCAGTGTAGTCACTAATCAACAGATTTGCAAATCTGAGCCTATCATAAAGTAAGTATTTGGTTTTGTAACCAAGAGCTATAACAAACCGAGAACCAGCGATATAATTTCATGAGTACTTATTACAGTATGTTACTAAGATAAACTTAAAATTTCTCAGGCAAAAAGATATATGAATAAAGTTCCACATACGCTGTCGTATGACGAGGCAGTTTCTTTCGACAAAATATTCAGTACTACAACTCGAGATATTAAATCAATAAACACGATGACCATGTGTTGCTGGGTCGATTCCTGTTAATATTGAAAGTTAAGAAATGGGAAAAGTGTATCATCCAGTGATAACTATGGCTAACACAAATTTTTTTATTATTAAATACACAAACTTATCGATTGCTAGACTTAAAATTCCAATTAAAATGAATCAAATCAATAGAAACATTGTTAAACTTACTAACATGATATTTTGAAGAACTTCCACTGTTGACTGAAATTTTTAATGAACAACAATAATTGATAATGGATAGTATTTCGTTACATTTACAATGAAATATAATTATTATCACAACTTTGTGTAAATAACATCATAGTTATAATATGTTTCATCACGAATTAATATCATCTGATTTTGATGGAGTTTTGTTCTCTGAGCTGGATGATATTGTTTAGAAGAATGATGAAAGCTCCACGACCAAATCATCCAGCTCAGAGAACAAAACTCCATCAAAATCCTCCACCTGAGCTACAAATATTCTCTACCATATCAATATCATCTGAGGAACTAATGAAAACCAGGCGATAAAGTAGGTTAAACTAATGTTATTAAGAAAACATTTCAATTAGCATTATTCAGTCGAATAGTTTAGATAGCTTTAGTTTAAAGGACTTGTAATTTCACTAAGTAGTAGGAGTTATTCAGTGAATAAATTACATTTCAATTCTTTACACAAGATTGGAAGTGGTATATGATTTTTTGATGAGTTTTATGATATAGTTTACCTAGCTGTATACACGTACGTCTTTAGTTTGAATTAAGCTATCAGTAATGGTATGTTCTTTAAAATTGTAATGACTGCTTGATAATTTTAATCATGGAGGTACTCTAAGAGTTCACATAACTTAGCTGAGTTATTTTTACGAAGAGTAGGTGTATATGAGCCGTCAAGCAGTATACAGTACAGATCTGAATAGTAATTTGAAGTGAAATAACGGATCTGCCTTTTATCCTATTTAGTACTCATCAGCTAGGTTTATTAAACATCCTAGTTTTGATATACACACTGAGGCTCTAATTGCGTACTCATTACTTTCAGCTATAATCAGTCCTAGCATACTGAGAGGTGCAATTTTAGAATCTTGGAAAAGTGTTTTTAATCACGGCATTAAATTGCCATCCGTACAACCTATTGATTTGTAACAAATTGCATTGTCTTGTTATGTTATTCAACTTAGACACCATATTTCAAGTCATAGTAGCATAGTTCAGTTTGATATTTAAGACTAAATGCCATGCCATTATTAAAATTTTAGTGATTTTTCTGTGAATATATTTATGCAATGCAAAAGTATTTGTATTTTTAGAATGTGGCGTGGTACTTCAAAAAGAATACGCCAACTGATAATTTTCACAAAATTCTTGTTGTTGAGCATATTTAAATCGTTTAACACTTTGTAAAATATTAATACAAATATATAGTTGTTATTAGCGGCTTGCTTGAATATCTGAGATATCTGTTCCAACCATTTATATATTTCAGTGAGATACCTTTTTTTTGCTACGTCTATTATTCGCACAACTTGTTCAGGTGACTTTATGAAAAGTTTACGATATTTCACTCTACAAGTTACAAAAACGTATAATCAGAGACACTGTAGTGCCTGGCAATATGCATTGAAACAAATAAACACTATTCAGATGTCGATTCCTGAACTGCTAACATCTAACTGGAGATCACTCAATATATATCGCCAGGATCGATCACGAAATAAGCAAAGGAAATAGTTAGTGTTAAGAAATCTATACTGCACCAAATATACAATATTGAATAAAATCATTAATAATAGTTATCTTTACATTTTAGACTGTCATTACTATACGATAACATGTAAACATACCTTTGGAAGGCCTTCGTATAGATTCTCCTCATCCAGTTCTCTAAGATAAAACGAAAAATAAGCATATTTCTTAAAATATTTCACCAATAAAGAGTAACAGCTAATTAATCAATAAAAATAGTGTTACCTCAAGACATGCATAAACTATAATTAGTCATATGTTTTCAGTAGGCATTAAGAGGTTAACTCAAGATCCGGAACTTCTGTGTTTGACCCATGGTCTGATTATGGGTACCAATTGTCAGGAGTTAGGGTTGAAACTATGGTTTATTACTCTGTAGTGTCAGTTACTATGTTGAGCCCATGTTAGCTCATTCTAGCCCCTGGAAAGACCAATCTATTCATTCTTCTCAAGCCAAATTTTAACCTTGTCACTTATTCACTTGTCATTCCTGACTGTCTTTAAATGATCGCATGTGTGTTAGTTACTTACCCTGTTCATCATATGTCTGTAAATTATTTTTGTTCGGCTATAAATGTCGATTTACGCTTGGTTAAATCAAGTTGACTCACTCGCTTCCCCATTGCGCTTCATTTTGTCTTGCTTTGCTTTCCGATCAAAGATTATATACGTATTCAAAATTAATTCTCGTATTTGATTTTTTATAATTCCATTATTTACCAACGCGATTTAAGTCGGTGATTATATACAAGAGTTAGCGATATGTATAACAATCATTCATACGATCTATCTGGAGTCAGACCTCGTTCCACTAAAACTCACTAGTTCCTAGTGGTAGTTAAACTAAGGTTATTCTGTCATAAATATCACAAGACTAAAGTAGCATTATAAAACCCCTTAATATAACTTTATTTAATGGTTATACAAGCGTAAGAATGTATTCACGATTTGATGCTTACTCTGGATAGTGAATAAAAAAAGCACATTACTGGTCAAACATAACTAACCACTTAATGGTTATAAAATAAGGTTTGATTGATCTTCTTCTTGACTAAATTTTGGTTGTTCTCTATTTTCATGAATGGTTCCTGTGTAGACTGCCTTGATGCAATCACTTTTACAAGTTCTTTAGAATATATGGATTGTAACTTTAACTGAAATATGAAAACTTGGATGCACTGTATTTAGCTGATAAGACTCAAATAAAGAAAACAAGGTACCCTAAGTTCTACTGATAGCCAAAGTCTATCTGTTTTAAACATTTATTAGAGGTGAAGCGTTCGCGCGCAAGACCGATAGGTTCTGGGTTTGAAACTCGCGAGGCAGGATCGTGGATGTACAATGCTGAGGAGTCCGAAAATAGGACTAAAAGGCCGTTCAGTACTTCCAGGTTTTCCATGGTGATCTAGTTTCAATTGACGCATGATCTCAACTGTTGAAATTATCAATTATTGGATTCCTTTAACATGTATAGACAAAGTAAGACTGACAATATTTGCTGAATTCAATAAGTTCATTATAATTCGTTGTGTTCTTTTTAGCGAATAAACAAGTATGTTCCACTCAATAAATTAATTGTTCAACAATTACGAATAGATTGTTTGGAATTTAAAATAACTTAAGAACCCGATTTCTTAAAAAAGATTTTTTTCTTATTGTTTAAGGTGGTCATTCTAGAATATAATTAATACTATTACTCAACTCAATAAAGATTTAGGAAGTTTACAAAGAAAGAAAAGTCAGACGTTTGAGTTGAACTCAATAGATCATGATTATAATTAATCAAAGTAAGAAAGAGGATCAAAATGTTTAATTTGTTTCTGTTACCAAGAAAGTTGATGATTAACTACTTACTATAGTTAAAATGCGAATGTCAGGTCTTAGCTGTTTAAATGAAATGTCTTACGCGAATTGGACTGTTTATTGTACATTTTGAATGTATTGAGTCAATGTTATGCCTTAAGTTTACCAGATGATGTGCAATCAAACTTTGAAGACCATTTTGTCTTCCAAGGTGCAAGTTTCTGGGACTATACTAAGAATTGATTGAAAGCTTTCCTTACTGCCTTTTCGGTGCAATTTTTTTATTTGTACATATAATTCGATTGCAGGTGACATGTGACGAATACTTACCTTTCACTCCAAGTTTACAATGAATACATTCTCAAAGACTAGCCTTAAAGAGTCATACCATTTGCTTAGTAATAAAATTCATTGTTAAGTTGAAATTGAAAGTTTTAGTCTATCATCTTAGTAACAGTATGAGTTGTAATCGGAGTATCCGTTGTGAGTATCGGCCATTAATGTCAATACTTTCTTCCAAAGGGATATTGATAAACTGTGAAAAAATGACATAGGAAATTAAAAGTTTATATTATATATTTACTCAATCTATCAGACTGAAAAGTGTTCTTCACATAGTACATATCGGTTTCTTTACAAGTTGGCTAATTATGTTAGCTAACTATCGTACCTGTTAATTTCAGTGGGGTTTAATCACGGATATATGATAAATCTCATTTTCATTGACCTGTTCATACATGAATATTAGGTATAAGCAAAGTGTTTTGAGCTCGTTCAATTTCACTTCTTGCTAAAGTCGAGGCATAACATTGACTCAATACATTCAAAATGTACAATAAACAGTCCAATTCGCGTAAGACATTTCATTTAAACAGCTAAGACCTGACATTCGCATTTTAACTATAGTAAGTAGTTAATCATCAACTTTCTTGGTAACAGAAACAAATTAAACATTTTGATTCTCTTTTTTCCTTTGATTAATTATAATCAATATAATATTCATATTTTTTTCAGTACACTTTATCGTTTACTTCTCATAAAAGCAAAACATGCTTAGTACATATCCTATCACAAACTGATCACTTGTTATTTTTAGAAAATAGTAGTCATTTTATGAGCGTTAATATTATGGTGGGCGGTGTCCGAAATCGGTTACTGATACATGATGTGCTACGTGCTAATCCCCCACCTGACTATTTGATTGAGAACACAAAAGTAGATGAGGTAGCGTATTTGTATACCAAATATAATGCACGAATATTCGTATATATATACCGCTTAGGAAGTCAATCTATTCCTTAGCTAATTAAATGAACTTGCCCTTCAGGTCACCTTTGATTACCATCGATTGACCATCTTTTTTGGCTACTTCTGATTGGCTTACTACATTGCGCTAATATATCACATAATTCTGATAATCTTCGTCTTCTTATTACATTATCGAAACTAACTACATTAGTTAGCTCTAGTTTTTAATATATCTTTAAAATCAGATTTGTTATAAATGTTGCTAGTTTTGATATTAAATTAACATAATTTAATCATTTAGTTATAGTTATTCAACTGAAACTTACAATTGTTTCATTTTTACAGTAGAGAATACCCGACAAATAAATCGTGCTTCTTGATTTGGATTATATGTTGATGGTATTATAACAAATGTTCCAGGAAAAAGGTCAGCTTCTAATGTTACTTCACGTCTTGGAATGTAGTCTGATGTTAACAATGGTTTTCGGCATAATAATTCTTCTGCTGTAAGACATGTAGTTTGCAGTTCAGATACCTAAGTTAATAGATTTTTAACTGTTCTTCATAAAATTAATTTAAATATAGTTTTTACTGAATAATGCATTAAATTTTTAAACAGTTTGCTATAAAACATGCTTTTTTCCTTAAGTCATTGTTACAGTTTGTTAAGTAATGTTGAATAAAGAATAATAAACTGCTGAGTGCTCTCTATCTTTTTTCAATAGTTATTTATGATTTGTGTTTCGTGATATCCACCCTTACATTGGTTGATATACCATAATAACTAGAAGTAATCGTTGATCATATGAGGACATAATTACATATGATCCTACATAATATAAACATCAACCTTTACACAAGCATGATGCTATACGGCCACCCTCTTTTTCTTTCTTAATTAAATAAATATTTTATGAGAGCAATACCTTCAGCAGATTAATTTATTATTTGCTTAGAATCAAGATACCAAATCCATTAGTCAGTATAAAGTGAATTGCGATAGGAGATACCATTCACCCATAATTTTAAAATTCCATACACATAGTTCCCTTTATCATTTTGGAAAGAGCAACAACAAAGATTCTAGCAGAATAACATGAATTCATTATATTTCTTAGGTTTTCGTCAGCTGCTTACAACCTGTGATATTTAAAAATCATAATTACATAATGGGTTTAAATTATTTACATGAGAGGGTTTGGTTGGAAGTTATATTGAAGACATATTCGTACAGTATAGCAAGGGTGTAAATAGATTTAATAGACTGAATATTGTAAATATATACCTTATGTAAAAGAACATTGTGACAACAGTTCAAAAGGCTAGAAACAAGTAAACATTGATAGAAATAAAATGAGTAGAGTTCAGTTGATAAAATAAGATTAATAATTTGGAAGATTGTTGGAGTAAAACTCAATGATGTGATAAGTGCAAGAAAGAGTTTAAAGAAAAGAAAAAGATATATTAAGATACGGTGAAGGAATATTCGTCACCAAGGCAAGGAGAAATTAATAACCTTCTCCTTTCGAACATATAAATCAGGTTTTTGGTGGCTGATAGCAACTGCTTCAATAAGCTTCAGAAGACTGGAGTTTGGCTGCTTACTAATCATATTGAATGATTGTAGAGTATCGACCTGATGTCCTGTATCAAGGAGATGTTTGGTGATTGCACTATTTAGAGTCTTTCTTTCTCTTGTTCTGAAACGTTTTGGAACATATTCAAAAAATCTGAGATATTCCCTCCTTTCTGTTCGGCCAATGTAGCTGTTTTGGCAGGTACACGTAAATTTATAAATACAATTGGCGGTAACATGAAAAGGGTGTTTATCAACCTTTGATAGAGTTATTGAACATGTTGTTTTATACAGAATTAGAAGTTTGGCAGCCGGATAAGTTCTGGCTAGCCCAGTATTCAATCTCCTGTTGAGTGTGTTTGCAACATCATCACCTTTGAAGTTCAGATTTATAGTTATTGGTTTTTTACATAAGGTATATATTTACAATATTCAGTCTATTAAATTCATTTACACCCTTGCTATACTATACAAATATGTCTTCAATATAACTTCCAATCAAACTCTTTCATGTAAATAAATTAAACCAATTATGTAATTATGATTTTAAATATCACAGGTTGTAAGCATCTGACGAGAACCAACGAAATAAAAATGAATCCATGCTATTCTGCTAGAAAGTTTAAAATTATCAAGAAATAGGAATAAAGTAGGGTTTATAATATTTCTTATCACGTTTGGCTAAATATTTGCATAAATAAACTATATATGAGCAAACATTTGTTTTCAATCATTTCATCATCAGGCTTTACAGTTATCAGTCCATAATTATGATATTTTACAATATAATATGTAATAAAAGGGGGGTATTATCAAGTTAATTACCATAAAAAAGGATTTGCATAAATTTCTAGTTTTGTTATCCCAGGACCTACTGGCTTCGCGCGCGAGCACTTAACCACTAGAAGCCGTTACCAGTGGAGTTCAACCAGGTCTGTTGTGAGATAACAACTCACTGAAGACAATGGTGTACGGTGGCGCAACTTCGTGGATTGGTTGAAGTTAGACATTAACACCGTTGGATGCCGGCTCAGTGGTCTAGTGGTTAAGTGCTCGCGCGCGAAGCCAGTAGGTCCTGGGTTTGAACAACGCGTGGTGCGGGATCGTGGATGCGCACTGGTGAGGAGTCCCATATTAGGACGAAATGGCCGTCCAGTGCTTCCAGGTTTTCCATGGTGGTTTAGCTTTAATCGACTCATGATTTCAACCTATAAAAGAAAGGTCTTAAGATGAATGATTGTTGTCAATTTGACTTGTATGAGAAGAGAATTTAAAAGTTATGGCCATGTAGAACAAATACGGTATCAGTCAAATTTCAAATTAATTATCTTATCCTTCTACATTTAATCTTTCACTTTATAGATATTCACCACAAACTGTTAGCACCTCTGAGTATAGCTTTATTGAATTTAGGATTGACCGTTATAAAATACTCAGCAATATTAGTATCATACATACAATCTGTGGAAAGTAGTAAACTTTCCCTTTCATTACTTTAACTGTTCGTTCGGATTTAAGCCAAAGTTCTCATAAATTAATAATAATGATATAACAGATGGTTGTAATATTTACCATCCTTACACGTATATTACGATAACACGTAAATGACACTAATCACGCTATATCAGAACCAGAATTCGTGCCACATAATAGAGAACCAGATTAATACAAGAGAGTATTTTATTCAATACAGTCACAAACACTCACACACAGTAAGTTCAGAATAGAAATCAATGAGAGGAAGGATAATCACATACTTAATATCAGTGTGGGGTTGTGGAGACAACTAAGTTTTTGATTAAGATCAGGAATCCATGAATATTAGACCACCACTGAAAACCTGCTAGCACTGGGTGGCCGGATCGTCCTAAAATAGGATTCGAACTCAGGGTCTTTAGTCTCGCGCGCGAATACTTAACCTCTAGGTCATTGAGCCAGCATCAAATGGTGTCAACGTTTAACTTTGAATCCCGCGTGAGGGGTTGTGGATGTACACTGCTGAGGAGTCTCATATTAGGACGAAGCGGACGTCCAATGCTTCCAGGTTTTCAATGGTGATCTAACATTCATCGATTTGTGATCTCAATCAAAAATATATTGAATATTCCGTAGGCTGTGACTGTTTGTCCATGTTCAACGACCAATCGTACTTTACTGTCACTACCACACATCAAGTAATAACAATAACGATAATAATAGGTTATAGTCTCTCAACTATCATATTTTTTGACCAATTATTTGAGAGTCAACTGTTTTAATGAAGATAAAATTAAATTATCTTTAACCATTATTAATAATCTTTGTAAAACTTTTACGACACAAAAGAAAGTATCATCAGGAAGCGTATTTTATAAATTTCTATTGTTACTTACTTCATATATTGAAAAACCTATAGCCAAATAATCTCCGCCATAAAAAAGTCTTCTGTATTCTTGCATAACTCCTACGATGATATGTGTTTTAGTAACTTTAGCATTGTGGTCAGCTCCAATTGTAAATAAATACTGTGGATTTGTACAGAATGATTCTGTATAATAAATTTGTATTTAATTATTTTGATAAATCATCATTTGTACATCTCATGAAACAAAATAGATCATGTATAATAAAAGTGTTTAGTTAAGTCTACTTTTGACAGGATTATTAAGATAGATTTCGCTGAGAATTTTATCTGTTGAATACATATATGAGGCTGGTAGATTTTTAATAACTTCGATATAAGTTCTATCGATAACCTGGAACTCAGTACTAAGTAAATGTTTACAATGATTATGTGTTACCAGCAGTTAAATATCAAACGTATAGTGATAAGCATTAGAACCTACTGTTTAAAAAAGTAAAGGTAGATTTGGGAAAATTAGTTATTTAACTTTCAATCTACAACCTATTGATGTAAAGGCTTCTGCTTTAATATGAAATAAATAGTGTTCAAAATGAAGTTTATGTATGAAGAAGTCATATATAGGTAGTTTGTATATATACTGTTAACTTTTGAATTTGATTGCTTGACTGGGCTATATTAGTAACTTAAGAATAGTATATGAATGTTAAACTGATAATATTTACTTATCGATGTCATGCACTAACTTGTTTAATGGTATAAACAGAATTACCTGGATAGTTAAATGATCCTCCAGCATTTACATTCGCAACCCATTCACCAGCAAAACATATTTCCTCACATCTTTTCTTTTTGTCGATTTCATCTCTATGGTCTAAACTTGCGTATCCAAAATGACATATTTCAAGTAGAGTGAAATTATTTTCAAAATCATCGAACGACATCCTAAAATGTAGTTGGCATTTCGACAACCAAAACACAAAACTAAGCAATTAAAATGCATTATTGGTCCATATATATATATATATATATATATATATATATATATATATATATATATATATATATATATATATATATATATATATATATATACTTACGCCTGTTACGCCAGGTGGAGTAGCATAAGCCACCCACCAGCATTCTCCGTCCAACTCTGTCCCAGACAATCCCTTCCAGCTCTTTCCAGTTGTTATTCATCCTTTTCAAATCTGTTTCCATTTCCCGACGTAATGTGTTCTTTGCCTTTTCTATTTACAGCTTCCCTTCAGGATTCCAAGTTAAGGTTTGCATCGTGATGCAGTTTGATGATTTGAGTAATGTATGTCCTATCCACCAACTCCATCGTCTCTTCCTAATTTCCTCTTCAACTGGAAGATGGTCTGTTCGTTCTCACAGAAGGCTGCTAATGATGATATCCGACCAATGGATGTTGAGTATGCTGCGTAGACAACTATTTATAAATACTTGTATCTTCTTGATGATGGTTGTAGAATTTCTCTAGTTCTAGTTTCAGCTCCGTACAGTAGAACTGACTGTATTGGTATTGGTTGAAAGTTGTTTTTAGTTTTATATATTCTTCAATTGTAGGAATGCGGCCCTTGCTTTGTCAATCCTCGCCTTTGCGTCTGTATCTGATCCTCTACGTTCATGGACTATGCTGTCCAGGTACGTGAATGTCTTCACACCTTCCAGAGCTTCCCCATCAAGTGAGATTGGGTTGGTGTTCTCAGTGTTTTATTTGGGGATCTTGCTTTTTTCGATGTGTATGTTGAGACCTCCTGATTGAGAGGCTTCAGTTATACTAGTTGTCTTCATCTGCATTTGTTCGTGTGTATGGGATAGAAGAGTTAGGCCATCTGCGTTGTTCGGATCGTCTAATTGTTTCTGAACTGTTCATTGTATTCCGTGTTTTCCCTCAGATGTCAAGGTTTTCATAATCCTCCAGCCAACCACCAGAAGAACGAGGAAGGGGAAGAGTAGACATTCTTGTCACTTGGAATGTATCTGTCAGCTGTTCTTAATGCACGACTTTGCACTGTAGTTCGTCGTTTGAGTTCCGGATAATGTTGACAGTTTTCTCAGAAACTCTATAGTGTCGAAGAAGGTTTCATAACATTCTGTCATCTACACTGTCAAACACCTTTTCATAATCAATGAAGCTGATGTATAGTGACGTGTTCCACTCAACTGATTGTTCGACGATGATCCGTAGTTTCGCATAAAATTACACTTCTAAAAGCTACATTTTTCAAGAAAGGAATATCTTACTTTGAAGAAATAAATATACTCAATAAAAATCATGCATCTCTTCTGTGTAATAACTTGCGAACTAATTGATGTTTGCTGGTTAGTGTACGTTATCAGTATCACACCAAATGTATATTTTTAGCCTCATTCCGTCAGTATATTGGTATCGTTACTCTCGTTTTCTTTTATTGTATCAATTATTGCAGAACATTACGATCAATAATTTCTATTTATTATATAATTAGAAATACGTAGTAATGTATGATACACATATAATCAATTTACAGAATAACTTTAAATAAAATGAAAGCATAACTCTTCGATAAAAAGGAGCTCGAACAGTCCCAAAATACATTGATTCAGTTGAATTATTCTTTTTCATTAAAATGTTTTAAAACGAACATAGTCTGTTTCTTATATAATTGTTTTGTGTAACAATTAAGTAATAGGTCACTTTAAACAATCAAATTATAGACATCATTAGTTTAGATTTATAACAAATAAGTTATAGCCCTGGTGTAATTTAATATTAAAGTTTTTTTTGCAAGTACCTGAAGAGTCATCAAATCTTTCAGTATACAATATAACTATCATTTGTAACGATCACTAAGATTTTCGATTCCTTAAATCTTCTTCTTCATGGCTTCATATATATTAAATTACAATGGAATGAATCAATTATCCGGTTTCGAGTTATGTTGCATCAATATTCTGTTCTCATTTATGCAACTATCAAGAATGAATGAAGCAATTTCCTATTGTTAACTCCTTTATCAAATTGTAAAGACTTAAAAGTTATTTGGAATTAAAACATTCGGTAAAGTTCAAAAGAATGTAGCCAAAAAATCTAGAAAACCTTAAATTAAATTGACAATTTAATTAAAGAAAGAACGAATCGAGCAAAGAAATTTCTTTTCAATTAGTTTTTTCATTATGATTCGATTCATTCCTTCTTTAATTACTAAAATGTTAAAATGGGACAATTTAATTGACACAAATCTGTAATTATGTTAAATAGTAAAATGGTATTTGATATTATACTAGTTTACTTCTAAGTTGAAATAAAACATTATTATTATTATTATCCTTGTCTCCTCTTACCCCATTTCCAGTTTAATTGACCTTTTTATTTTTATATATAAATGTTCCTAGCACGTGTATGTGTGATCAGATTGTTCCAAATGTATTACGCTATTATATCACACAGTTCTGATAATCTTCGTCTTCTTATTACATTATCGAAAGATGAACAAGCCATAAAGTTGATATAGTTAATAAAGAAGTGTTCAGGTTGTTATTAAATGTAACTCAGTATAAAAGTAATGAAGTTTATTATTATTATTATCATCATCATCATCAAATAAATCAATTTATAGATTTTTGTTTCTCCTAACATTGATTTGGCAAGCTTATAAAAAATGGATCTTTACTGAATCTATATTTTGTAATGATCTAACATCAAGAAACTTATATATTCGAATCTTTACTTAAATTGGTTTGATCTACATAGTTCATTGAATTTACTATGAATGTGATACCTGACTTTTACAAATTACAAAAAAAATAGTGAATTAATAAAAGACTAAACAAAATAGAAATATGATGAATAGGTTTTATTTTATATTACCAGAATTCTCCATCTTCTTTTGATTTATACTGTAAAGCTTTCTTATCTTTAGATTTAACATTTTTCCATTCAGGTGAATTATCTGACCAAGATCCTTTCCATTCATGTTTTTCTCCCCAAGGATTACGACAACGTACTAAATGCACTTCTTTACCGAGATAATTAACCTTTAATATATTATAAATAAAGAATAAGAAATGATGATGATAATAATAATAAGAAATTTAATACTTGGTTATTTCATGAGTAGAAGTATAATTAGTGTATATACTTGTAAATCGATTGTTTAAAAAATTACGGCTTAATTTTGACCTCAATTTTCAATTTTTGATGTACTCTAAATAAAGTATGATTTACTTCAGAGAGAATGAGACACTAAAAAACTAATAGAAATCAAGAGCTAGATATATAAACTTGTTGTTCATTCTTTCAAGTTACGAGACTGTGTACTACCAGACTTGATGACTGAAAAGTTGTCTAACACATGTGATTGCTTTTAGCGTTGGTGAGTCCTCTTGTATGGTCCCTTGCTATGTTAATCCAATATATCTCATACTAGCTTCAGAACATGCCGATTTTCTAATCCTTTTTGAGTCACATTTTGACTTTGTTGACTATTCACTCATCAACCTTGACTATTTTTACATGACCACATATGTGTGTACACTTCGTATTCTATTCAATACATGTCTGTAACTTATTTTTATCTGGATATAAATGTTGATTGATGCTTGATTAAATTGATTTGGCTCATATGCCTTCTCCACCGCGCATCGTTTCGTTTCGCCTTGTTCTTTTGATTGTCTGGATCAATGACTGAACAAGATATATTTCACATATTTTAATTCCGTTATCTACCGACGTGATTTTAGTCGATAGGCAACATATGTATTTCAATAACAATCATTCATACGATATAAATGGAGTCAGATCCTGGGCCACAAATGCGGTGAGTACATCGACAACATCGCCCGATCTAATTGACGTCAAATGAAGGGTTTCACTAAACTCTTAACTAAGCAGTTTATGTATCAGTAGTTGCTTAATTTTTTGGTTTTATTTACTTTTAACACAGATTAGGCTGATTAGAGATTTTTGTGCTTTAGTTATACAGTTCGCATAAAATAAGGCTTCCTTCGATTACGGATAGAGTTTACATTACTATAAATAATAATAAATAAAGATTAATTCATTCCAATCACAATTATTATGATGATTAACTATAACATAACTTACTTTCCCAACCCCAGTTACACTATAAGCATGAGAACCTATCAGTCCCATTTTTTCTCGTCTTTTATTTTTATCTCCCTAAAATAAATCAAATACAAGAGGAGATTGTAGCAAAAGATTAAAAAATATTCCGATGAATGTACTTCTCGTAGGAATCAATCAACCACTCAAATGGTCCTTAGAACAAAGATCGGTTTTGGTATTAACGGTAGAGTTAGGAATAGGATTTCTAACTATTTCAATTACATGCGTAACTGTAAAGAGTAGAGTTCTTCAGGGGACGATTATAAGTCGTTTCATTTTTTTCTTTATGAAAATGACCTATCGAGAGTGAAAACGTCATTTATGAGCGAAACTAAAGTGTAGATACTCATTCATAGCAGTCACAGAGGATTACAGAGAGGTATAAGTGCTCTGAATAAGTGGGGGGATAGATAGTCGTTAGAGGCGAATTCCAGCAAGGTGTTGTTTCACGAATGGAGTTGTGACAAGTTATACAACTACACAATAAACGAAATTGTTTCACCTGGTTTTATTGATTCTGAGTATTTGGGAGTCATAGTAAGTGATGATCTTAGAACCACGGTGTACAGTTGCCACAGGCTTTTAGATCTTGTAGGTAATTTGTGAAGATTTTCGGCACTTGGATGAATATATTTGCTGAATGTTTTACCCAACTCATACGTGTTGTAATTTGGGATATGAAGTCCAGATAATAGGTTCATGTTTAAAAAATGGCGAGGATATACTAGAACGGCTTCAGCGCCGATCTTTCCGATCCGACATAGGTTTTGAGGAGATCCGATACTGACTCGCCGTTAACTGAATGATGAATAACGCGTCCTTGTTTTTTGTATATTTAGAACCAGTCATCTAAGATTGGGTTTTCAGAAAACTCAAAGACAAGATTGAATCGTTTGCATCTCAAGTTTCGTTTCTCATATCGATTCATATACTTTTGGGATTCTCGACCAGAACATAAGTTATTGAAAAATAGTAAATTACTGTGGTTTGGTATTGATTTTATCAAAACTCCCGTGAAGAATAATTTAGCAGATATACTTAAATTGTGTCAGGTACCTAATTTGCAAACACTTGTATAAGAATTTATCTAACCGTTGTCAAAATACAGCTACAGACTTAAGTTACCCAAAAGAATAACTAACACCAACATCAGCACCCAAAATACAACATGTTTTTGTGTAGTGTTCCATCATTTTAAATAGGTTTGGTGGACGTTCTTTTTGATTCAAAATAACAGTAGTACATATTCCGCCAGTAAAATCTTCCATCGCTTCACTTTGAAATCCACCAGTTAGATGTGCATAACTACCGCATAATCTGTATGGGAACGGGAGAAAAAAAGGTTCTAAACCTTAGAAAATTTTAAGGATAAATCACAAACAATATAAAATTTCATGTGAATGGTAAGTAGTCACATTAAACACAATATTGTAGTGGTAGTTTCTATTGACATAAAAAGCAGATGTAAAGTCATAAATCAATATCTTTTAATTATTCACCTTCTTTTGTAGGGTAACTTTTAAAATTTTATGGCTTTATAAAAAAACTTGAAAAACTGAAAAATACATTAACTAGATTTTTAGAGAAAAAGTGGTTTGAGAAAAGAATTATCGAGGTAAACTACAGACTTGAATATAAACCCACTAAAGTTTATCCACTTTCGCGTACATTAATGAAAATATTAGCCAGTCCGCCAGTTATCGTCAAATTAAAGCCCGAAAAAGCAGTACGTCAACTCAAGATGACAAACCAAATGATCATGACGAAATGAACTTAATGAAACGAATAACTAAATAGTCGAAATAAAGTAGTAATGGTAAAAAAGATTGAGGTTTGAGAGTATGTACTAAGAAAGTGGAATAAAGGGGTATTTGTGTAGCAATACTGGAAATTATTTTCTAGAGAATGAAAAAGAATAAGTAAATTTACACAATTGCGACTGATTTTGAACTTTCTTCCAGCGTCTCCAACCACTAATTGCGGTTGTTTCGCCGACCCTAACCATGTAGTATAAATCTAGTAACATGACTCAGATCAACTGTTAATGACTTCATGAGTTGGTGACAGATTTTGGTTTGGTCACCTTTAGCTTTCTTTCAGCCTACTCTAACAACATGTGATATCGTGTGTCGAGGGAGGCGGTTGTTTGACACACATAATACATATCTCAATCACTAGAGTCGTTAAGATTTACAACCTCATCAAGTTTTTACTCAGTGAGGTTGGTGGAAAGTGCAAACATAATAAATTATCAGGGAGGTCCTGCAGTCTCAGTGGCCGGTTCGTCAAGTCAAGAAAGTTAATTCTTAGAGTTAAACATCGTTGATATTGAGATAACTCACCACTGTATATAAATTTACATAGAAAATTTGAGGAAGAAGGATATCATGACAAAGTGGTCGGTGTTGGATAGGTTATGAATTTATTAGGTGGCTTAACTTTGAAGTAAGGGTATATATATATATATCTACCCTGAAGAAGTGGCTTACATGAAGTAACGAAACGTCAAAAATACAATTTTCCACTAATCTGGATATCACTATATATATATATACATATATATATATATCCTTGGCTTGATTGTGAATGGGCGCTGCTGAGGAGTCTCATGCTTGGACGAAATGACCATCCTGTGCTTCCAGGTTTCTCATATTGGTCTGGCTTGGATCGGCTCGTGATTTCAATTGTGAAAATATGTAAAATCGATATAATCTATCGCAGTTATTCATTTCTTGAATAAAATGAACTTGTATGATTGTGGAAATCAATTTAAATTATTCCTCATCAATAAACTAAATTACCTAATATATGTTTTTCATATTACCACTATTGTAAAAGGTTTTACCCATAAAATTAGCGCAAATGTAGAGAATTCAAAGTACATCACATTAACACATAATGATCTTTGTTTTCACTTTAAAAAAAGGAAATTTAAATATAAAATCCATAGTAATATGATTTATTATTATTCCCTGTTTTCCACTTTAATCTTAACTACCGATTTTTAAACTTTTAATCATTCCAGCAGATCAGGTTGTTAGAAATTTATTAAGCTGATCTGTATCATATAGTTTGGTAAAGGTCCAATTATATTACACAGGTAAACACAATATGTAGGATATATAAAATGATGTACTAGTTGTTATAAGAACAGAAAGATTGAATATTTCACAATTTGAAATAAGTGGTAGAGGGAACTTGAAAAAAAACAAAAAAATTATGTGGAAAATAATACTGGGTAAAATTATTTGTTCAGTTTAATTTACCTAAAGGACAGGTCAGGGTGCTGCAAATTTCTTATAATTTGCAGCGCGAATCGTTATCACTTCTGTTATATGTAGATGACATTGAACCTCATAAGGTATAATAAAAGATACACAAATTATTACCATTGTTTATTGTCTGATTACTTTTAATAATTTCTAATGGTTAATATTTCAGTATATTAAAGATTCCCATTGTGAAAATTAGAACTTGTACTTTTACCTATTATGCGTAGAGACTTATTCTATTTCATTGCGATCATTGACCCAAATTGCCTTGATTGGTTTAACATTTTCGTATAAATATTCATGTATATTAGAGTAAAGCCTGATGACGATCTAATTGAAAATAATTGTTTTCTCATATGTGTTGTTCTAATATCTCAGTGTCTATCTTTTCTACACTTTTTAAAATAACTTCCTATCATGAAACATTGAACGCTTTTGTTAATGTTATCATAACTGCTACACCTATCATCACAATATCGATTTATGTTGGAATTTTGTTCTTTGAGCTGGATGATTTGGCTATGGATCTTTCCTCGTTCTTCTGAATGACATCAGAATCGGGATTTGTGGAGATTGTAGTAATTTTCACAGTTGAATTTATGAGTCAATTTAAGCCAAACCACCAGGCTTTCAATGATGGTCTAGTTGTAAATCGATTAATGAATTTGAATGTTAGAATAATACTATCGCTTTAAAACAATATTTTGTTACGGAAGACACTTTTCGAAGAAAGATTTTATTTATTCACGCCGGCCAGCTCAGTGATCTAATGGTTAGGAGCTCACACGCGAGACTGAGACGTCCTGGGCTCGAATCTCGCGGGGGGCGGGATCGTGAATGCGCACTGCTGAGGAGCCCTACACTAGGACGAAGCGGCCGTCCAGTGCTTCCAGATTTCTCATGGTGGTCTAGCCTCATTTGGCTCATGATTTCAACTACTGAAATTACTAAAATCTTCACAAAACCCCTTCTGACAAGATTTATTTGTTAAATGCTTCATCTGTTAATTATTCTGAACGTTAAATGCGTTATTAAATATATTTCAGACCATCATTTACAGAAAATATCTTAATTTCGCTTATAAATCCCTTCATCATATGTAACAAACTGAGATTTAAGAATGACGGTGATTCATAAATTACAAACAAAAAAATGATAAATAACGCCATCCATTTTATATTGTTCATCACAAAGGGGACAGATACAAAATGCATAACTCTGATTTCCTGGACAAACTTACATTTGGCCTATAACTTGTGATCATTTTGAAGTTGAAAAACATCACACTTGATTTCAACATGAAAACGATGTTGTAAATATTTTAGGATTGTGTGGGATAATCCGCCACCTTGATACTATAACGAGGCTAATGGAAATAGTTTATAGGATTATGTATACAGTGATTGTAGGAAACAGTAATGGAGATTTTTTCAGGTTAATTTTGAATTATCAGTTTAGGGGTTGTGGAGATTGTTAACATTTTGATTGAAACCATTAGTCATTTGAAGCTAAACCACCATGGAAAACCTCGAAGCATTGGACGTCCGTTTCTTTCTAGTATGGACTCCTCAGCAGTAAGCATCCACGATCCCGAACCCCGCGAGATTCGAACCCAGGACCTATCAGTCTCGCGCCAGGCGCTTAACCAACTAGACAACTGAGACGGAGTTCTCGTGAGAAGCCGTGGCCAGTGGAGCTAATTCGTATCGGGTAGAAACAGGTGTCTTCCTCAGTACAATGGAAGGTGGTTGAGCAATTTCGTGGATTGATTGAGGTTAGACATTAACACCATTGGATGCCGGCTCAGGGGTCTAGTTGGTTGATTGCCTGGCGGGAGGCTGACAGGTCCTGGGTTCAAACCTCGTGGAGTGCGGGATCGCGGATGCTCACTGCTGAGGAGTCCCATACTAGGACGAAACGTCCGTCCAATGCTTCCAGGTTTTCCATTGTAGTCTATCTTCAGATGACTAATGATTTCAATCAAAAATAATTTTGAATTATTTGTTTATAATTTCATGCTACTAATAAGTAGTTCAAATGCAAATATAAGATTAGTATTATTCCTTGAACTTACTTGGCATATGCTTTTTCCAGTAGGCATGACCAAAACTCATTTGTATCTGTTGAATGCATGAATACCAAGTTACATGTTCCCTTAAGAACTGGTAGACGATCATCGATTACAACTTCCACCCATTCTCCAAAACGCCAAAAATTGAACACAAATGCTCCTGTATAAAGTGTACCTCTGAAAGTTTGATTTGATGGTATGATGTTATTCATCAATGCAGGATATTTCGTAATTGTAGCCATAACCGCACTGAACCAACAGTCACCTTACAGATAATCAAGAAGAATTGATCAAGTAAGGCTCTACTCAACACTTGCATAATAAAAATTCATAGAGTTCGATATTTTTCACAAATAATTCGACGTTGTTATCTTGGATAAATACAACATCATGCTTACTTACTTACGCCTGTTACTTCCAATAGAGCATAAGCCACTGACCAGCATTCTCCAAGCCAGTTTGCTTTTAGCCTTCCTTTCCAGTTCTGTCCAATTCTTGTTCATTTTTCTCATGTCTGTCTCCATTTCTAGGCGTAATGTGTTCTTTGGTCTTCTTCTTTTCCTTCGGCCTTCAGGATTCCAGGAAGGGCTTGTCTTGTTATGCAGTTGAGTGCTTTCCTCAATGTATGTTCTATCCACTTACAGAACTTCTTCATGATTTCTTACTCCTCTCGGATCTGGTTTGTTCCCTCCCACAGTTGGTTTTTGCTGATAATGTCTGGCCAACGGATCCGAAGTATTTTGCCTAGAAAACTGTTAATAAACACCTGTATCTTCTTGTTCTCCATGTTTCCACCCATACAGTACAACTGTCTTGACATTCGTATTGAAAATTCTGATCTTGGTGTTGGTTGACAACTGTTTTGAGTTCTGAATATTCTTCAGTTTTAAATATACTGCTCTTGCTTTACCGATCCGCGCCTTCACATTTGCATCAGATCCACCGTGTTCATCAATGATGCTGCCCAAATATGTAAAGGCTTGTACAGCTTCCAAATCCTCTCCGTCAATTGTGATTGAATTGGTGCATGCTGTCTTGTATTGGAGAATTTTAATTTTCCCTTTGTGTATATTGAGACCTACTACTGCTGAGGCTGCTGCTACACTGGCCGTCTTCTCCTTCACTTGTTGTTGCGTGTGCGATAGAACGGCCGGATCATCTGCTAAGTCTAGATCGTCTAACTGCATCCTAGATGTCCACTGTATCCCGGGCTTCCCCCCAGATGTTGACGTCTTCATGATCTAGTCGATCACCAGGATAAAGAGAAAGTGTGAGAGTAAGCAACCTTGCCTGACATCGGTCTTTACTTCGGACGACTTTGTCAACTGTCCTCCGTGCACAATTTTGCAGTTTAATACATCATAAGAGTTCCTTAGTGTTGTCTTCTCTACGTCATCGAATGCTTTCTCGAAGTCAGTGAAGTTGATATAGAGCAGTGAATTCCATTCAATTGATTGTTCCACAATGATCCGTGAAGTTGCGATTTGGTCTTTACGCGATCCTTACAGAATCCAGCATGTTGGTCTCGAAGTTTGGCGTCTACGGAGTCCCTCGTTCTTTTAAACAATACTCTGTTGAAGACTTCTCCCGGTATTGAGAAGAGTGATGCCCCTGTAGTTATCACAGTTGCTGAGATCGCCTCTCTTTGGTATTTTGACCAGAAATCCTTCTTTCCAGTCTCTTGGTACTTGTTCCTCATCCCAAATCTTATCAAGGAGAATGTAGAGTATCCTTGTAGTTACCACTACGTCTGCTTCCAGTGCCATTGCTGGAATGTTGTCTGGTCCTGCCGCTTTGCCGCTCTTGATTTGTCTGATGGCCATTCTGGTGGGCTAACATCGATTAGGAGGTCCATGTGTGCTTCTTCGATGTTGGGTTGGTTAAATACAACATCATGACCTGTTTGATATTCAGATAGCCAAAAGTGGAACAAAGTGTATCAAAAGAATTATGACATGCGTTTCTAAGTTATCAAATACGTATTTGTCTTAGCTTATTTGGTTTGTTCCGTGTTTCAGTATTATTTTTTCAAGTATTCGTCCACACTTTCTTAAAATTTTCATCTGGTAAAAACTGATTAACAAGCAATGTCTGAAGCGTGTAAGAAACTGATGTTTTTATTTAAAAGGCTGAATGTCACTTGAGTTGATGGTCACTGCATTCATTAATTCAATTACTTACTGACATTTCCAAGGCAAAAAAGGTAAACAGGAAACATGATCTTACCAAGAGCACCTTGATCAACATCAAAACGAGAATAAGATTTTGTACAAAAAGCTGCATAAGGATTAATATCCTAAAATGTAAAACAACAAAACTTACGATGTAACAAGCGAAATAAAATTTACATTGATAAAATGAGTTTTATCTAGTTCTATGCACCCATAAATGATAGCAGTGAAGAGAGTTTTGAGTCGATCGTAGTAAAGTGTCCAGGAAACTACCTGACCATCCTGATATGAGACTTGAACTACAAAGTCGAAATGAATAACGCCAGGTGTCAAGATATCATGGGAGGACATGGACTGACTGGGAAAAAGGGACGAAACTGGTTACAGATTTGCAGATTTATGTGCATCTAACAACCTGGTTATAGGTGACACCAACGCATACACAAGCCTACATGGGTCTCATCGCATCACACTACACAGAACAAGATCGAACATAATTCAATTCATGGAAGATTCAAAATATCATTGCAAGGTATGAGAACCAGGAGAGGGGCTGACATAGTTCCGGACCACCATCTGGTATTTGTCATGATGAAACTGAAGCTCAATAAACACTGGAAAACAGGAGAAACAGCATTACTAAAGTTCAATACAGACTTCTTTCAACATACTGACAAACTCAACGAATTCAAGATAAATCTCAACAACAGGTCCCAAGATTTACAGGATCTTCTGAAATAAGAAGAAACCACGATGGAGAACAAAGGGAAAGGGATTACTGCAGCACCAACTTCATAGTTCAGGAGACTTTGGGTCGCAAGAAGCATCATCACAAGGAATGGATCTCTATCGAAAAACAGGATAGGATTCAAGAAGGGAGGAACACGAAGACAGCAATTAACAACAATCGAACAAGAGCGGGGAGATTCAAGGCACAATCTGAATACACTGGAGCAAACAAGTAAGTGAATAGCAGCATTTGAGCTGGCGAGCAGAAATATATGGAGGACAGAGGATAAAACTGTAAGAGAAGGAAGTATGAAACACCTATATGACACACTGAAGAAACTAGTGTGGAAATCTAGTGAACCAGAGAGATCGAACAAGGACTAAGAAGACAAGCTAATCACTGACATTCAAGGACAGATGGACACGTGTGTAGAACACTAAGGAATTCCCGTAGGGATCAGCCGCACTCAACCTACTGGACAGCAAGGCAGTACACACAGACCTACCTATAGATCTCACCCTGCCAGAGATCGGAAAAATCAGGATGGTCATCAGACAAATCAATTGTGGGAGAGCAGCAGGACCAGACGACATATCAGCTGAAGCAATGAAGTTAAATATGAAAGTAGCTACGAACATCCTCCACGTTCTATTCAGGAAGATTTGGTAGGAGAAATAAGTGCCGAAAGATTTGAAGGAAGGATACCTCATCAAGATACCAGAGAAGGGAGATCTGGGCAAATATGAGATCCACGTAGGAATCACACTATTGTCAGTACCAAGAAGTTTTCAACAGAGTATTGTTGAACCGGATGGGGGACTCAGTGAACGCCCAATTTCGATATCAACAGGCTGGGTTCCGTAGTGATAGTCCGTGCACAGACTTAAAGGCGACACTGTGGATCATCATTGTGCAATCAGTTGAGTGGAACTCGTCACTATACATAAACTTTCTTGGATATGGCATGGCGTTTGACAGTCTAAGTAGCAAAATAATATGAAACACTTTTCGACAACACTTTACACTTGAGAATATTGCCGCTGTCATGTGGATATAATATGAAGGATTGCACCGAAAAGTTGTGCTTGAAGGATAGCATCCCAAGTGAAGAACTGTGTCAGATAAGATTGTTTACTCTCACCCTTCCTCTCTTTTCTGGTGGTCGACTGAATTATGAAAACCTGCACATCTCAGGGAAAGCATGGAATAATATATGTTCTCTGGATGCAGCTAGGCGATTCGAACTTCGCACGTGACCTAGCTCTTCTATTCCATATACCGAAACAAATGTAGGTGAAGACAGCCAATGTGGCAGCAGGTTTTTACAACGATAGGCCAACATTATAGCCAGAACCTTCAAGGCAAAAGTCGGGATAGTTCTGTTGTATGGAACTGAAACTCGGGGAACTACTGCAGCCATAATCAAGAAGTCCGGGTATTTGTGAACAAATGTCTACACAAGATGCCCGATGTCCGTTGACCCGGTACCACAATCAATGACCCACTGTGAGAGAGAGCAAACTAAATTCTAGATGAAGCTGAGACTTGGTAAAACACCGAAGGTGAATAGGACACACATTGTGGAAATCACCAGACTGAGTAACGAGGCAAATCTTAATTTGGAATCCTGAAGGCAAAGAGAAAATAGGCAGATCAAAGAACAACTCAAACTAGGATTTTGAGACAGACATAAAGAGAATGAATAGCACTTGGAAATTACTGTAATGGATTGCATAGGACAGAGTTGGATGAATAATGATGATGGAAGGCCTACGCTCTTCCACGAAGGGTGACCGGAGTAATCACTCGATGGTATATGGCTGTAAAGGCTGTTGAATTATAATTAAGATCATTAACCGATCAATGTTAGAACAACACTGAAAACCTGAAAGCATCAGTTAGCTGTTTTGTCCTAGTTTGAGACCCCTTATCATTGTGCATCCATGATCCCGTACGTGAGATTTAAACTCAGTCTCGCGCGCCAACGCTTGACCTCTACATCAGTGAACCGGGATCCGACGGTGTTCAGCCAATCTACGATGTCACGCAACCATCCTCCATTGTCCTCAGTGAGTAAATGCCTCTCATTCGACACTGGTCAAACGCTTATCACTAGGACTCTGAAAATTATCTCTTGAAGTTAGTCACTAGTGAGCACATGATAATTATTTGCATAGTGTTTCGAAGGTTTTTGAGTTTTAATTGAGATCATGAACCGATTATTTAATTCAATATAGTGTTAATAAGACTAAACATAGAAATGTCTTTTAATCTTTACATCAAATACTGTCAAGACTTCCTTCTGAGGTTTTTAGGAGATTTAGTGGTCTGGAAGTATCGATTTTGATTATAATCCGTTGTTAACTAAGTAATTTTTCTAGGCTTTTTATTTTCACGCATAATCTTTTATTGCTATTATATATATGATTGTATAGCTTGATAATGAAGTCGTCGGAAAGAAATTCTTTAGCTAAAATTCGTATTCCTAATGTTTGAATCCGATTTATATGTCTGTTGATCGTGATGCGTTACCAATCAAGGATTTGTTCACATTATACATTTGTTCTGATAATCGATGATATAAATATAATGGAAAGAGCGATGTGGTAATTAGTTATTCCTACCATATTGGGTTATACTTTCTTTTTTCTGCTTCTCATATTTGCAGTTGTCACAATTTACCCATTAAATTAACCCTTGTTTGTTCTTATATACAATAATGTAATGAAAGAATTTATCCTCAGCATTTTAGTTAATATATTGCACAAACACCCTAAATGTTTAAAATGAAATTTGTCATCTCATTTATATAAAGTGGATGACTGCAAAAATAACTTAACATTTATGTTTTAGTTGATGACGATAAGTTTACATCACAGGTTCAATTCAAACTATCTACATAATTCAACAAACCAGTCCACATTCAATGTTTCTTCCTGAGGTGTTTTATTAATCTATAACGCTAGTGATTTACGTATCTTATTAAAAATTAATTAGATCATTTGAAGGAAACAATCGTAGATATCGTTAACCTGATAAAGTAAATTTAATGACTGCTATTGGGTATCAGATATAAGAAGTTTATATTTATAATTTTGAATTAACTGATTAGAAGCGTATTAACAGATTTTATTGTGAATTCCATATCATACAGACTTACGCCTGTCACCTCTCGTGGGGGAGTATAGGTCGCCCACCAGCACTCTTCATCCAACTTTGTCCTCCACTCTCCTATCCAGTTGTTTCCAGTTCCCATTCATCCTTTTCTGCTTCTGATCCCCAACGTGGTGTGTTTTTCGGCCTTCCTCTCTTTCGTTTTCCTCTAGGACTGCAAGTTGGAGCTTGTTTCGTGATGCAATTTGACGATTTTCACAAAATATGTCCTATCCAATTCCAAAGTCTTTTCCTAACTTCCTCTGCATCTGGAACGTAGTTTGTCCTCTCCTATAGTAGGCTGTTGCTGATAGTATCAGACCAACGATCATTAAGTATCTTGTGTAGACAATTGTTTATAAATACTTGTACATTTTTGATGACGGTTGAGGTAGTTCTCGATGTTCCAGCTCAACACAGTAAAAGTGTTTTCACGTTCATATTGAGGATTCTCACTTCGATATTGATTGACAGTTGTCTTGAGTTCCATATATTCTTCAACTGTAGGAATACTGTCCTTGCCTTGCTAATCAGTGACTTCACACCTGTATCCGATCCTCCTCGTTCATAGATGACGCTACCCAGATAAGTGGACGCTTTCACATCTTCCAAAGACTCTCCATTCGGTTTGATTGATTTGGTTCTCTCAGTGTTGTATTTGAGGATCTTGCTTTTTTCGATGTGTATGTTGAGGTTTACCAATGTAGAGACTACCGCTACACTATCTGTTTTGACCTGCATTTGTTCCTATGTATGGGATAGAAGAGCTAGGTCAGTTGTGAAGTCCAAATCGTCTAGTTGCATCCAAACTGTCCATTGTATTCCGTGTTTCCTCTAAGATGAACAGGTCTTCATAATCCTCCAGTTGACCATCAGATGAAAGAGGAAGGGGAAGGGGAAACTTTGTTTATCTTCGGTTGTTCCATCAAATGCGTCTGTCAGCTTTTCTCCAAACACGACTTTGCAGTGCAGTTCGTCGTAAAAATTCCGGAGGATGTCGACAACCTTTTCATTTACTCACTTCAGAGGTTCGAAGAAGTTTCCATAATGTTCTCCTGTCTACACTGTCAAACGCCTTTTCATAATCAATGAAGTTGATGTATAGTGACGAGTTTCATTCAATTGATTGTTCGACGATGATTCGTAGTGTAGCGATTTGGTCTGTGCACAACCGATCCTTACAGAATCCAACCTTTTGATCTAGAAGTTGGGCATCTACTGAATCTTTCATCTGGTTCAGCAACATTGTTGAAAACGTTTTCTGATACTGCCAGTATTGTGATGCTTCTGTATTTCTCACATTTGCTCAGATCTCCTTTCTTTGGTATCTTGATGAGTTGTCCTTCACATCGTACAGAGTTCGTTCAATAGTCCATAAATAAAGTGGTTGAAATATGTGCACATTTGTCTAAACATTTATTTCAATGGATGGGAGCTTTTTGGCTTTTAATGATTGTAAAGAATGGGAAACAACCTAATCGTTTTTTGTTCTTTAGAACTAAAATATATTTTCCTTACAGTAATCAACTAAAAGGAACATGTAGTTTGTCGAATAAATAAAAGATATAATGTAGTGCAAACTTTATAAAACTCAGGGTACAGTTATCTTGTCTCCCTTAGAACACATAAAAATTTATGACAAAATGCTTGTTGATTTCCATTTCTATTGATTAAAACATTCCTATATGTCTTAAAGAGTTGATATCTTCCGCTGCCTTGTCACTTTATGATTCGTTGTCTACTTATAACGTCTTAACACTGGGTATAAAGCAAATCTCGTGAAGCTGCCTATAGAACACAGAGGATGATTTAGAGTTATGAGAAACAATTGAATGTGTAGACTGATTACTGAATGTTTGATAGACTGCGAACCTACCAAGAAATTAAAACTATCATTAGTTATTAGTTCAGTGAAGATAGATCACTTAGGTGAGATCGATATAGATTGATTTTCACATAGGTATAATCCAATTTGTAGTTTATTTAGTTATATATATATATATAGTTAGAAATGGCTAAACAGGAACATACTTTAGGTCTTTTCCATTCTATTTTGCCCAAGACTTGTTGCAAGTCTCCAATTGAATTATTATTTGCGGGAAAATCAAGATCTTCATAAAGTCGTTTTGCTTCTGTCATTTTGGCTGAAATAATTTCATACTGACTAATTTTTGTGTTTCTCATCTCAGTAGGCTATATATAGGATAAAAAAGAATGTTTCCAAATGATTTATTCATCGTGATGCTTACGAATTTTTAGATAGTTTAAATTAAACGTTGTAAACGTCACAATCTGGAAGCTCATATCGCATACCCGTTTATTAACTTAAAATACACCAGTGCATGTTATAACCTGTTTCTATTAAACATTGAAGTATAGTGAGCGAGTAGGTCAGGAAATGTTAACCCAGGTTTCTTTCGATTTACTCGTTATATACCTAATTGTTCCACTCACAGTTTTCAAACAGCCTACTGATACCAAGGTGATATGGATTATTCATGTTTTGTGACCTGGTGTACCATAATGTCTAGGCATATCAAGTTAGTTAAGGTAGATCTAAGATTCATTTTTATTCCGTATATTGGTGATTGATATATATTTATGCGTATGTAATGTATGTGATTGAATCGAACTTCATAATTGTAGTGCAATGCGGCATTGTAACTAATGTAACAAGAATAGTTGTTCAGAAACCATAAGGCCGACTTGAAATAATGGACTACAGACACGTATATACAACATGAAATGGCCTGGCATAAACATTGCTTGATATGCCGTCGAAAGTGTATCAAATTGATGTATGTTAATATTAGGACAACAATAACGTCTAAGTTTATGCCTCCGAAGTGAATATATGTTTTTCTGTAAATAATTTCAGCTAGGTAAACAATTATTTTTAAACGAAATAAATTAATTATAAATAACTTACACTTGCGTAAGTTGTTTCACTTTTCGAACAAGGAGTAAAACCATTCGAACTGTTTGCACAATCGAGAAATATCTGTCTGTACACACGACCAGCCATGGAATCAGCTTTTCCATCAGAATGAGGGATGCATGGTGATTTTAATTTCTCATTCAGCTAAATCATTAGAAAATTAAATGGTAATATCATTTAAAGTTGTGATTTAGATAAACAGCAATTAAGTCAGAAAACCGTTGAAAGTAAATAATTTACTGGCCAATATTAGTACGAGTTGATGATCTTACGTTCTTATTATTCAAAACTTCAGTTGATTAGTTTCAATTGGGATATATACTTCCTGAGAGGATCGCCTTGATTTTAATGTACAGTCATAATAATCTCTTGGTGATTTAAGGATCGTGATTAAATATTCGAAGGCAATTACTAAATTGGATAAACAATCATCTGTGATAACTTTCTCTCCCTGCTTTTAAGTTATGGATTTACAAATATTTCATATTTGAAGTCAGGATAGTGTAAACATAGATGTTTTGCTAAAATAAATCCATGTTTTATATATGTTGTTAATGTTTGAATAACTCACCGTTTTCCACGGTGGTCTAGCCTCAATTGACTCATGACTTTAACTAATGAAATTTCTAAATACATTTATTTATTATTTTCCTAATTATCAATGGCTTAAGATAATTTATTTATTTGACTTGAATTATCATCATATTCTATTTTGATTTTGTTCACGTCAATGAACTTTATGGATTTAAATAAAAAATATCAAATTCTTGATCCGATCAATTATTATTTGATCTTGAATCCATTTTTGTGATGCAATCTTTTCTATCCTCCTATAGACATATATTTTCCATATAACTATATATATATATATACGAATGTACAGCTTGAGTAAATGATTTCGTCGAAAAGAAAATTTTCTTCGATGAATTCTCTTTTTCATATTCAATGACACTGTGGATTATTTTAATTATCCGATCAATTAATTGTTTTCAATTTAACTTACCTTTGCATAACCTTTCGGAGTAATTGACCATGGTATATGTAAATTAAATTGCAGTCTTTTCTCTGTTAATGTTGGTTTAAGTATATCCACTATAAGTTGAAAAACAAAATAGAAAGAACTTAACTACAGATTCATAAAATTTACTATATTTGAATTAGTTGAAATAATCTATTTGAAATAGGGAATAATATGAAAGTTGTAAAAGCTTCATTTAAAATGTATCATAGTTACGCATTCACGATATCAATTGAAGTCAAATTCAGGAAACCTAAATCATATATAAGTTACATAATAATTTTTTAATTCGATTGTCAGTTTTGTAAATATTAAGTTAACTAATGTGCAATCAACTATAAAAGAAATAAGGTACCTAATAAGAGTATATCTGTCTAATTATTATCGTGTTTAAACAAATAGTTCATTGATGAAAGTGTTATCTATCCAAAATAGTCATGAAATAATAGTGAGAACTTCAGTATTCTCTGATTTAGGTTACGGTGATAAGGATATAAAGCAAAATCGTGCATGGAGGACAGGTTACAGACTCGTTCGAAGTAAAGACCGATGTCAGGCAAGGTTGCTTACTCTCACACTTTCTCTTTATCCTGGTGATCGAATAGATCATGATGTCAACATCTGAAGGGAAAAGCGGGATACAGTGGACATTTAGGATGCAGTTGGACGATCTAGACTTAGAAGATGATCTGGCCCTTCTATTGCACACGCGATAACAAATGCAGAAGAAGAAGACCAGTGTAGCATCAGCCTCAGCAGCAGTAGGTCTCAATATACATAAAGGGAAAAGTAAGATTCTCCAATACAACACAGCATGCACCAATCCAATCACAGTCCACGGAGAAGATTTGGGCAGCATCATTGATGAACACGGTTGATCTGATGCAAATGTGAAGGCGCGGATCGGTAAAGCAAGAGCAGTATATTTAAAACTGAAGAATATTCAGAACTCAAAACAGTTGTCAACCAACACCAAGATCAGAATTTTCAATACGAATGTCAAGACAGTTGTACTGTATGGGTGGAAACATGGAGAACAAGAAGATACAGGTGTTTATTAACAGTTTTCTAGGCAAAATACTTCGGATCCGTTGGCCAGACACTATCAGCAACAACCTACTATGGGAGGGAAAAAACCAGATTCCAGTGGAGGAAGAAATCATGAAGAAGCGCTGTAAGTGGAAAGGACATATTTTGAGGAAAGCATCGAACTGCATCACATGACAAGCCCCCACACGGAATCTTGAAGACCAAAGGAAAAGAGGAAGACCAAAGAACACATTACGCCAGGAAATGTAGATAGACATGAGAAAAATGAACAGGAATTGGATGGAACTAGAAACGAAGGCCCAGGACAGAGTGGGTCGGAGAATGCTGGTCGGCGGCCTATGCTCCATTGGAAGTAACAGGCGTAAGTAAGTAAGATAAGGATATAAAGATTACAGCTTTTATGATTTCATACTTGTAACAAAACAAAAACATTTATCCTTACATTATTGTTTAAAGCATGATTCATTGCAGTAATTAATTATTCTGAATGTTAACTTGCAGCCTTAATTTTCAACTATCAGTCTGATGAAAATTAACGTTCAGTACAGTGTTCTGTTTATAAATTGACTTGTTTCACGTTTAGGTGTGTAGCAGTTTGGTTTTAGTAGCAGCTGAAATATCTTACTGATGACAACACAAACTGTGACATCATATAGTGTGAAAATTATTAAATACACCGCCTTAATGATGAATTCTACCACTAATAAGACTTATTGAGTTTATAAGTAATAATACCAAGGTTGAACCTGATAGTTTCAAATAAATTGAGCATCAGAGTAGATAGTTAATAATACATATATATTTTTTGTAATATATACAGATGAGTAGAAAAGTCGTATTTGGCGTTTCGTAACTAAATGTAAGTCACACTAGAAACATTATTTTTTTACTCATTGGTATTGAACAAAAAATATATTCATTGATATGACTTGAGTTCAGAGATTATTGTCAATCCCTCCGAACAAAAAAATAATACAATATTAACTTAGTGGGTATCAACTTCTGTAGTTGCATATACGCTTTCTTCATATCTTCATTTATTCCATACCGTTAATTGGGGATTATCATATATTTCATTGAGTTAATTTGTTCAAAAGACAAAATATAACAAACATTTTGTTGTACAAAATCTTTAGACATATGTAGAAAAGATTCCACTTACTATAATTCGATGGAACTCCAGTCATCTCAGTTTCTGCATCACTATTCTGCTTTTTACGTCTCATATGAATCTAAAATATAGGATAATGAATGAAAAATTTAAGTATAGCAAATAATGCCTCATAAGTTTACTTTTGAACATACCATCATATAAGGTTCTATATGACTCAATAGTTAAATAGTGTTACTTCATTAGTGTATGTTAATCATCCGTTATAAAATATATCAGCGTAGCCATATATTTGATTGTGGGCTGATTAACAAATTAACATCAATACTTTTCTTATACAAACGTGTCTCCATGTGTTTTAAAAATATTCTTCTAAAATTTTCACATATAATAACGTAAACATTCATCCACTTTATCGCTTTCTAATACTTTCATACTTGTCGTTGCTATTCTACTAATCATCACTGATATGACATAAAGTATGTACATCGATTATCAACAATTGTTACTTTTTATATGTATATTGGTTGTTTTAATATATCCATCTGATGAGTACCATATAGGATAAACGCATGTCTTGGATTACATTGATATTAATTATAGCGTGAAACTACAGATATCCATTTGCTTTTAGATATTTATCCTATAATGAAACTATAATCCGGTCCTTTTTGGTTTGCTCGTATCTTTCGTATATATTACGCAAATCATCAAACTGCATCGCGAGGCAAGCCCTAACTTGGAATCCTGAATTTAAGCGGAGAAGAGGAAGGCCAAAGAACACATTACGTCGAAAAATTGAATCAGATATGAAAAGGATGATTAACAACTGGAAAGAACTGGAAAGGATTGCCGAGGACAAGGTTGGGTGGAGAGTGCTGGTGGGCGGCTTGCGCTCCTCCACGAGGAGTAACGGGTGTAAGTAAGTAAGTAAGTTTTATCTTTCGTGCTGCTATTACATTCGATAATCTTTTATCAGGAAACCTTCGTAAAGTATTTTTTATCACTCTTATAACTTTATCCCATGAACTAGGAGTCATTCTTAACATATATTCGTATAAGCATAAATGTACAGCTATGAAAACCAGTGCGTTTGAGTATTTATTTATTCACCGAAATCATTTATCATGAACATAGCATATATATGACCGATAACTTAAGACTATTTTAAGAGTATACTGAAGGTTTTTTCAAAGTTCATACCAAAACAATTTTATTTCAATTTAATATGCAACTTGTAAATGGAATATTAAAAAATAGTGATTAGAAAGAATTAATGATAAAACGAATTTCCAATTTTTTAAAATGGACATTTCCCTATGATAACAACAGAATATTAGAAATCATTTCTTCAATTATCTATACCTTATAAATATTTTTAGGACTGTAATTTGTGTATAAATAACTTATGTTCATTTTAGGATATTGATTCACACTTATTGATATCAGTTATAAGGGCAAATATTTATTGATGATATCTTTCAAGACAATTAATACTGGGATTTAAAGTTCCTTTTAGATTTAACTAGCTAAAAATGATGATAATTGAGGGCCTAACGTTTATCAATTGTTAAATGCTAATTATCTTAAAGCAATGATGATAGCTAAGATATAGATACTTAAACAAGTTAAACATTTATTTTATATGGATAAAAATAACAAAATAAGAACTACTTATCTCTTATCAGGTATATATATTCAAAACTTTTGTCCTTTTGATAAACTGAAGGAATAGCTGAAAACTACTAAGAACAAGATCATACATTCTTTCTACTTTACACTCTTGATAATGTGACAAATATTTTTAGATTTTCCCGGAGCTAAGTGACCAGATTAATTCCTTACAGAAAGGTCATACAATTTTTCATTCTATTGAGCTTTCTTACATCACAATATGGTTGGAAAAATGTAGGGCATTTAAATTCAAACCAAAGATATAATGATAGTGTCCATTTCGAGTCATATCAAGATTACTGGTTAGAAATTACATTGATTTAGTAATGAGAGCTTGTAAATAATTATAGACGAAGTCGAAGTTGATATCTGACTCTTCATGTTTTCTTGTATATTTCACTAACTAACAAAAGTGCTCAATCAAAATGGTTTATGAATCAACGCTTTCAAATGTATAAAAAAAGAATTAATCAATGTAGATCACACTTATGTGTATTTTATGCACTTCAACAAAACTCATCATGGGTTTCGTCTTGTCAATAAAATGTGTAATATGTAGATGGGATGATATCTATCATTTTATCGTATTGTAATTTATAACCACGTGAATAATGTAAAAAGAATTTACCGTTTTATACTTATAGTACACATAATTTGTTCAAATAATCTAGTTTACTAAATTATAGATTCATGTCAAAACAAATAGATAATAGGAGTGTCAAAATATTTTAATATACTGTTCTGTAATCGACGAACTCTTATCAGAGATCCGTAAAATGGAATGTCAATAATAAACTTTGTGTTGAAAAGAATCCAATCTGAAGCTGGTTAACACGATAGTAAAGTCCTTAAGACTGATATGAAATGGTTTCAAATTATCAAGATAGTAGTAAAATTATAGTCTATCAACAAGTTCGTTTGTTGAATCGAAAGTACTTGTATTGGACAAATAACATTTAAAAATATATTTATTATACTTGTGGTAACACCTTAATAATAGTGGTTACACATATTTACAAAACTTTATGTTTGTTGTCGAGTTACTTAATCTTTGATTCATTTATTTGTAAAATCAATGAGATATTTGTTAAAAGAAAATAGTGGACGGTGGCACAATTTAGTGGATTAGTTGAAGCTAGGCATTAACACCGTTGGATGCCGGCCAGCTCAGTGGTCTAAATGTTAAGCGTTCGCGCGCTAGACTGTTAGGTCCTGGATTCGAATCTCGAGGGTGGGATCGTGAATGCTCACTGTTGAGGAGTCCCATACTAGGGTGAAACAGCCGTCTAGTGCTTCCAGGTTTTCCATGGTGTTCGGGCCTCAAGTGATTCATGAATTCAATTATCAAGTTACTACAATCTCCACAAAACCACTCTATGAAAATTTACCTTATGGAGTAGCATAATTAAACAAGTTCTTTCATATTTTTACTGATAATTTTCATTCAAAGGGATGTTAAAAATATTGATTAATATTGTATATCTTTCGATAAAAAACTTAAGAATGAAGCCTTTTTTAACAGCCAGAATTTATCAAAGATATATTCTTAGAACTGTGCTTATTTTGTCCTGAAATATCTGAGAAAGCAACAAATAAAAATATTGTAACTGTCTTCCTCAGGTGGAAGTTGGTTTGTTCTCTTCCATAGTGTGTTGCTACTGATGATATCGAGTCAACGAACATTCAGTACGTACACAAATGTTCCTAAATACCAATATCTTTTTAATGACGGCTGTAGTAGTTCTCCAAGTTTCAGCTCCATAAAGTAGAAATTCGATTTTGGTTGACAGTTGTTTTCAGTTCCATATATTTATTAATTGTAGGAATGCTATCGTTGTCTTACCGATCCTTGACTTCTTATCTGCTTCAGATCCCCAACGTTCATCGATGATAATGCACAAATATGTGAACGTTCCCACCTCCTCAAAAGCTCTATTTCAAGCGTGTTCACTGCATCGTATTTCAGGATGTTTGTTTTTCCCTTGTGTATATTAAGGCTTACTGATACAGAGGCTTCTGCTACACTGGTTGTCTTGAGCTGCAGTTGTTGATGTGTATGGGATAGAAGAGCCCGGCCACTTGTGCCATCCAAATCGCCTAGCCTCATTCAAACTGTTCATTGTATTTCGTGCATCCCCTTAGATATCAAGGTCTTCATAATCCAGTCGACAAACAGAAGAAAGAGAAATAGAGAGTAATCAGACTTGTCTGATTCTGGTCCTCACTTCATATACGTCTACCAGCTGTCCTTCACATATGACTTTGCAGTGTAATCCGTCGAATGAATCCCATATGATAGTGGTGATCTTTTAAATTATCCACTCCAGTGTCGAGTAAGGTTCGGTAAGGTTCTCCTGTTCAGATTATCAAACGATTTCTCATGGTCAGTGGAGTTCCTTTCAGTTGGTTGTTGAACGTTCATCCGTAGTGTCATCAATGGGAATATCCAAACAACCAATGCAAAAATGAATTCATGTAATCTTTCTGGATCATTAACCTCCATTCAAATATTTCCACCTAACCTTGATTTTTCATTATGATTGTTATTATGGTTTTATCAATCGATCTTACGTTTTCTGTGTGAGGTGGGGGAAAAGGAAAACCAATATCAAGTTTGACATTCACTTTCTCGAAATTAGATTCAGAACGTCGTTCAAGTTAATAGGAAATGAATTTCCGCGATTTACTTAGATAAGTGAAATGAATAACTTTCACTTCCTTTATTACTATTACTGAGAGGTGACATCATTAAAATTTATAGAGTTAATTTTTAAAAAAATAAGGAGGTAAATGAAGTTCAATTATTCTGTTCATAATTTGAAATCAATTTTTCCATGACATTACTTAATAATTTCAATAGTTGAAATCATGAGTTAATTGATGTTAGATCACCATGGAAAACTTGGAAGCACTGGACGGCCATTTCTTTCTAGTATGGGACTCTTCAGCAGTGCGTGTCTACGCGAGATTGATATGTCCTGATTTCGGACCTCGCGGATGGCAAGGTCGCGGATACTCAGTGCTATGGAATCCCATACTAGGACGAAACGGCTGTCCAGTGCTTCCAAGTTTTCTATGGTGGCCTAGCTTCAATTTACTCATGATTTCAACTATTGAAATTTCTAAAATCTTCACAAAACTCTTGACAATTATTTATTAGTTTATTCAGTTCTTCACTTTTACTAATCTTATTATGTCAATGTTTTCTACGGTTGATTACGTCATGAATTTATTCACTTATATTTTAAATATTTTAATCAAACTTCTGTTATGATAAACGAATTGTGATATTCATTATTACTGAATCGAAGTTTATCGATAGAAAGTAGAAATATGATGAGAAATATACTAGCAATTTGTCTCTAATTTTGTTTTAAAACCACCAGACAACTTGAGAACCTGAAAGCACTAGACAGTTATTTTGGCCTCCTCAGCAGTGCTCACTTG